AGATTCAGTCCCCTCCTAACAACCTCTCAGAGATTCATGAGCGGCCCAGTCAGACGGGCCGGTCTAATCATGGAGAAAACACCACAGGCCATCAGCCCGGCTCTGAATGCAGCGAGACGCCCATAATAGTGTGCTTAACCTTTGAACGAGACATGTGTGAGGCCAATTCCTGCCGACCCCAGACGTCTCGTCAGGGCCCCGTCTCTCCGACGAGGCCTCAGTCATCGCTTGAGCTTCAACCATCAGATCAACCACCAGCCCCGGGGCCAACAAGCACCCCTGCTGGGCGTCACGATGGACCCCCTCCTGCCGGCTGGAGCCTTCATCCCTCCTCAGATGAGGGAGGAAAGGGTCTCACAGTCGTGCCATTGGGCTGAGACGCCTTTGTCGTGACTGCTCGGGTCTCTAGGGGAGTTTCGGCGCCCCCCCAGATACATCTACTCAGACCTGAACTTGGTGAGCCATCACATCTGCAGGGTCAGGAAGTTAGGAACAGATCTGGAGCAGTAGCAGGTGCTCCATGAAGGAAAACGGAGCAGATGTGTCGATCTGTGCAGGTGTTTTTGATAAAACGGTGATGTGTTTTTCAAAATAAAAGTCCTATCCTGAACTGTTTTCTGCTGGTAAGCGTTTATAAAGCTGTTCTTTGCCCTTCAGCAGCCCCCCCCCCACTAAAGAGTGCAGTGGCTCCAATCACTGATGAACTTTTCAAAGTGCTCCTAATTGGACTGAACACAGAATAAAGTTTAGACGGTTATTTTTGTTGTGCATATTCAGAGAACAGGCTGTGGAAAAATGATGTTTACGGCTTCTGAAGGAAACATTTGGCAGCCAACGGTCATTAAGAGGAGTCCCACCAAGTGAAAAAGTCGCACTCTTTACCAAAATACACACGAAATCAAGACAGAAATACTCAGAGGGGGAAAAAGCTGCACGCTTGCCTGAACTAACTCCAGCTCTCTATCATCATTTCATTAATTGCTCCTGAAGTCTATGATATAGCGAGCGATTGCACCAACTGTGCAGTTTTATTTTTAGTGTATACAGTTATAATACAGCCTGTGTCATACATTCAGTTAATGCAACAGAGGAAATATCACTGAAACCTCCCTCTTAAAGTGTTCAAACATGTAAAAGCAGCTGAATATTGAAAAGATCACACAAGTCTGTTTTTCTGAGAGGATTCTGGAAAGGTTCTCTACTTTATAAAAACATGAAAACGATGACTAAGGACACTGTGGTACATTTAAAAAGCAAAAATAAAACAGTTTTAGAGATGTTCCTGATCCTTAAATTACAGATAAGACTTCCTCTCCGTGTCCTGATGATATGTGCATGTATGCATGAACCACAGGACGCTCTGACAGACTGCAGAAATCACCTTTTATGAGACAAATATGATGCATGTGCTCTGAAGACTGCTCTGAATGCATCTCTCCTGCCTTTTATTCTTCTCCGTTTATTAACTTCTCTGATTGTAATTCTGGGAGGAAAATTTGAGCTTTTTACTGTTTTTAAGAAGAAAAACAACAAATGCATCCTGTGCTATTATATCTTATTCTTCTGTTTGCAAAATGTTAAAGTGCAGAACAAGATAGAGGTGAAAATAATGAAATTAGAGAGAGTAAAACTTGTGATTTTAAACCGATTCCAGGAAAATTTGATCATTACAAACCAAACCCTAACATTTGAAGAGTGTTTGCCAGATTTCCTCTTATTTGTTTTTAAAATAACTCCTAATTATTCCAGTTTTGGTCCTTTCAGATGGTTTTCTCTTCAGGGTTCGGGTTCTCGTTCAGCTGCCTGTGCTCTGTCTCTCGCAGTAATGTGCGTGTTTTCATGCAGCTGTGTAGCTCTTTAATCACCATCTGTTATGGCCACCCTGTCAGCTGTTTTGACTGTATTTGAGCTCAGCCTATGGTCGTGTTGATCGCTCTGAGGTATGCACTGATGAAAACGATCAGCTGAGATTCGCACCACCCACTCCATACGGCATATTTACATAATATAGAAATAATCCTACTAGAAAAGAGTAAAGGTAATGTCAGCAGAGATCCTTTAATGATGAAATTTTAGACTCACATATGATCTTATTCAACATGTTCTTATAAGTATCAGAGCAGCTCTACTTGGAAGCTGAAGTTAGCATGATGCACGAGGCCAGGGGACAGGGAGGATCAAACAAACACGAGGCGAGCAGAAGAAGAAGAAAAGTTTTTTTCTGCACAAAAACGCCTCGAAATAAAGAAAGAGAGACGAGCGCTGACGCTGGCGCTGCACTGTACCCCGTCCAATTTGCTTTGTTCCCAGTTACCTGCCCCTGCCATCACAAGGGGAGCCACTGGGGGCCATATTGGGGCCATCTCTCGCTCCCATGGCCCCCTTTTCTCTCGCCACAGCCTTTAAAGTCCTGCACAGCGATGTGCACGGCCTTGATGTTTGCCTTGTACCCTACATGCAAAGCTATCATTATCCATGCCTCTTGACAATCGCGGGCCCTGTCTTTGTTACATCTGCAGCGCTTTGCCTTGGGCGATGACATGACTGCACGGTTGATCTCTTCTCTTTTACATATCGCTCCCTGTGTCTCTCCTCCTCTCTGCTCTTTCTGCGCTCAGTCCGTGCACCGTGCTCCAATCCAACTCCGGTTTGACGACTTGGAGAGTCTTTTACCTCTCAGCCTGTGTGACACCTCTGCTGCTTTGATGCTTTTGGCAGCTTTCCACACATCCCTCACCACGGTTTAAGCAGAAAAATCTGGATTGATGTTTGACGCACGTTTGCACTCAGGTTTGCTATGTGGAGGAGAGTCTTTCACACCATTTCTCAAGGCACTTCAGGCCTCGAAAAAACAAGAATTCAGAGAAAAGGTTGTCAAAGTTTTTCAATCTGTGAACTCTAACCAAAGAATCAGGCATTTTAGCTTTTTGACTGCGGTGTAAATCTTCTGAGAGTCCGTGCTGGAGTCTGAATCTGTGCTGCACTTCACAAAGAACCGATTTTACTGGAAGCTGGATTCTCATCCTCGTTTTGGGCTAATATGGGTCACTGGCACAGAGGAAACAAGGAGAAATTAATGCTGCTAAAAGCCCTCCTCTGCTGCAGAGGCATGCATAAAAATGAGGGATTCCCCGTTTGTTTCACACTCATGTTCACTAATTTCAGGAGAGAAAAAAAATGACAACCTTTGTTGCGTGAAGAAAAAAGGAAAATTTCACGTCAACGATCGCAGGTTGAAAAGAAACAGAAAAAGCGAGCGGAGTAATTTCTCCTCAAAACGACATTATCTAAATGGACGAGGAGAACTCCGAGCATCATTTGCAGATGGAACCATCTGGAGGTCTGTTGTATCACAAGCTCTCTGTACGACTGCAGCTTTGTTTGGGAGGAAGATTTCAATTTTATCCTCCATTCAGGCATTTGGTTTCCAACAGACTGGAAATCAGCAGCTCTTTGGATGATTATGGTTATGGTTCATACGGCAATATTTCTTATTCAGGAGTAACATCAGAGCGAGAGAGAGAGAGAGAGAGAGAGAGAGAGAGAGAGAGAGAGAGAGAGAGAGAGAGCTGGCTGCAGCGCAGAGACAGTACAGTGTTGGAGTTAAAGGTGTTTTCTTTGATTTATTTAGGATTTAATGTGAAGCTCGTCCGTCTAAAGGTACGCAGCTGCAGAAACAAAGACGCACCGACTCCTTTAATAATACTCTCAGTTCACTGGCTCTAATATTTAACATGAACAAGATAAATATTAAATTTAATACCAAAACATTTAACAAAATATACAAATATGAAACTCAATATAATCCGTACAATTCAAAAATACTTAATTGATGAAGTTTTTTAATTCAGCTAATATCCAGATATGGTGATTTCCTGCAGCTTAAACTGTTGGTCAGTTTATTAATCACATAAAAGTCCATTTGGGATGAAACACTTAAATTCTCATGTACTATCATGCGTTTTAGATGTATGTTTGCATTACATAATAAAGAAAGTTATGTAACGTGCATTAGTGCGTCATGTGCACTACTTTTAAAGTATATGTGGTAATCCAGCCGTCATCTGCTGCTTTGATTTGCTTCATATTTGCAAGAGACTGATTTCAGTTTTAATGCTTCTTAACTTTGGATAAAGATGAAGCTCAGTGATTGGTTTTAATCTGGGTTTGAATTTGGAAATATTTATAGAAAAACTTTTATCTGTTTTTTTATTTTGTTTTACTGATTTTAACTGATTTGAAGCTTGTTGGTTTTTTTCCTTCTCTCGTCTATTTTCTGTCTGTTCATCCTCGGCTGCATGTTTTAAAAAATCTGAATCAGGTTGAGTCTGATGAATTTGTTTGCATGAACTGATGTGAAATGAGTACCTGTCTTTGTTTCTGCAGCACGGGTACAAAATAAGCGCCTTGTTTGGTGACATATACAGACTTCTCAGTTAACCATGTAAGAAATGTTTTTTTTCCAAACTGTGAAAAGAAATCTGTGCTAACTCTGAAATATTGACTGACTATCACTCTGCATGTAAAGTACCTCACTTTATATTATCACAGAGTCACTCCATTCTCTCACACAGGAGGTCTAAAGGTGCATCATCTTCCACTAAATCAGGTCCAATCACTTTCCCCCGTCTCCAGAATCTAAACGGACCCCAGTGTGCCGTCATTAGAGTTTGTGTTTCAGTCCAAACTCCAGAGCTTTTAATTAGTTCAGCCTACAGTCTGCCAAAGCTTGCTCGACCTTCACTCTCCTCCTCGGCGTGACGTCTGGTTCGTGTTTTTTTTTTCCCCTAAAATTCCTCAAAACACACTCACACGGTAACACACACAAACCAAGTCCGACCACAGACTCCTAAATCCTTCAATTAGCCGCTATTCTCTGATTATTTCCTTATAAATAATCTGTTTTGATGCCCTCACTCTTCTACCCTTTGCCCCACATGATTACCCTCCACCCCCCACCCTGGCCCCCCCAGGATCACACTGAAACACCACTTGGGAAGTCAACAGCTCTCTCCTCGTCGACCACAGGAGGTGGCTGCTGGGGGCGTTTTCACGAGCCCACCACTGATCTTCAGACGGAGGACCTGCAGCTCGCCAGAGTCTGCAGAGCTGTCAGAAACCAGAGCAGGACTCAAAGGCCTCACACGGCTCATACTGGGGGGTACAGGGGGATGACGGCTGGAGAAGTGAAGAACCACCACCAGAATATCAGCTCTCCAGTTTAACTGTGGTGATGTTTCAGGGCGTCAATATGAGGACCCTTCAAATCTCTCTGCTCCAAAAGTCTGTCGGGTTTGTCTCTAAAGGTGGAGTCACGTCAGTTCAGAAGTTCTCCACCTGCATGTCTGCATCAGAAGATAAAAACGGCTGCAGAACCGGGAGAAGGTCCAGATTTTAGGGTCACTTTATCCTGCAGACAAACTAATAAAAAAATCATCCATGTACTCGACTACAGAAATATGCAAACAGGACCAAAACAGTGTTTGAACCAGGCTGTGAAGATGTTTACCTCTGTTAAAATGGCCTCGAATGGTACAGCCTCAAGTGGACACTTGAGGAACTGCAGCTTTACGCACTTTGTTTGTTTTTTTTTCTCTTGGTTTACCCTCAATCTCCACCTTCAAAAGGTCGTATCCTCCGATCGTAGCTGATCGTAACCATTCAAGTTAACGTGTCGATTTACACCGACTTCTTTCCGTTCCTCTGAGGATCGCCGGACTCCTCAGCTGATCACAAGAGTTCTATTTTTATCTGGACGCCGGAGCATGGCGGATAAATTCAGCACAGATTAACCCGTGCTGGAAAGGAAGTCGGGCACAGACACAAAATAAAACATCCGGCTTCTTTTCAAAATAAAACAAGTGAAAGGTTTTTAGACGTCATTTCACCCCGATGACACCATGGATGAGGAGATGCTGATTAGTCTAGAAGTAGATTTCCTCCTCTGGAAGGACACAATCCACCACAAAATTCGCCTCCCAAACGGATCCAGTAGGAATTGGCGGGCAGTGAAAATGGCTGTCGTTCCGGATCTGAGCCATTCCAGGTGCGGTTTTAATTGGACTTAAGTCTTCCAGGGTGGATCTCTGTTATCAGACGAGGATATCTGAGGATCCACCATGACTGTACGAACTCCTTCTGAAACAGAAGTCGGTTTATTAAAATATTTTCACATGACTGAGAGAAAGGTGGCCTTGCTGTTGAAGGATGCCGTCCGTCCATGAAAGCCAGTTTTGGGTGCAGCAGAAAGAGAGCGCTGACATGAAACCGAACATGCAGCTTCACGTGGAGATGAGAGAGAGTTTTTTGGCAGGCGGCTCGTCCAGAGCTGCAGAGAGACGCAGACACAGAAAGAGGAACACAGCCGCATGCAAAGTGCGTTGATTAACTCGCATTGTGTTTCTTTGCTAATGCTGTGCGCTGCATTCAAATCAAGTCCAAGACAGAGAGCCAGAGAGCCTCGAATTCAACCTCTCTCCCTCTCTCTCTGTCCAATGTCTATTTCAAGACCCCAACCCCCCAGCCCGGGAAATTAATAATGAATGCATCCTGTCCGATTTAATTTGGCGCTAATTAGGTCAGGAAAGTTTGGGAGCGAAAGGTACGGTCCAGGCCACGTGGTCGGGTCTCTGTGGGCGCCCACTTTCATGTGGCGAGAGAAAAGTTGAGCGTGGAACAGAGGGATGGCGGGGGCAAGGCCACTGCCAACGGCGCCAGCAACGGCACGAAGGGCCAGGGCTGGAGACAAAGATAATAAAACCAAGAAGTGGCAGCTTCAGAGAGCAGCAGAGAAAAAAAAGCAGCCGCCGGGGAGATATCAACTCTGGGGCTGTGCTGAACGGAGAGAGCTGTCAGTCTGTTTGTTTGGACCGAGACCGCTGAGAAATAATTATTCCCTTTTAATTACAATTTGGAGAAAAGGAAACGCCGCGCTCAGGCTTAGCGGGCCGGGGAGGGGACGCCGGTGCAGGGCGAACGGTGCTGCCCAGAACCGCAGAGCAGAGCGTCGGAGGACTCGTGAAGCAATGTTATCACCTTTCACACGCCGCGGAGCCGAAGAATGGACGACTTTGATCCGACTGCAGGAGCACTTCGGCCAACTTGGGTGGCACTCGTGGTGAAAGTGTGAAGTCTGTGGTAGGAAGAGTTCAGAGCACAGACAAGAGGAAGAGGAGGAGGAGGAGGAGGAGGAGAGGGGGGACAGATGAAGGTGACAGCGATAGAGGTTAACCTCGATTTGAAGTCCCAGCAGGGTTGGAAAATCCCGCCAGGCGAAACATGGCTCTGATCTTTCACATCTAGCTCACAGATATTGTACCAGACGGTGCCAATAATATCTCTTCAGGATCGACTGACAGGCTTCAAACTCTCTCTGTTTTCAGAAATCCCCTCCTCCGGTGTCTCAGGTTATAAAATAAGTCCTGAATACGTCTGAATAGAGAGTTCGGCTTCATGTATGAAGATTGGCAGACAGTAGCAGCTCCAATGATTCAAATGATGCCAACCTGCTTAGTGGAGGCGATCCAGATGGAGTATCAGTTCAAGTACTGTAAATCTGCCTGATTGGATGGGCTCAGACTTTTCATAGAGAGGGAGGGAGGGAGGGGGCATACAAAAGCAAGTCCAGCTGTGACGCTTCACCTGGAAATGACCTCAAAACCTGCATGTCTACGTGATATTTTCACTAAAATGTTTGTGAATCTTTGAGGGAAGTTTAAACCTCCAGCAGAGAAAACCAAAGAGAGGATTTATCTGCAGCTTCTGGACTGTAAATGAACGTGAGAGAGGCAGTTCCTCCAAAATGATCTGAGTATAAAATCATAAATCCTGCTGATGTTTCACCTCACCTTCCTGTAACACCCTGTGACACCTGCAGAAGTCACAAAAATGGAGCCTTAAAAACTTTAACTCCTGATCATTTCTATGCATAAGTCATATTTGACGGTATTTGAGGTGAAGGAGGGTCTGAAATGTGTCTCACAGCCTCGAGCTTTGATTTCCTGCATGCACCAAAAGAACCGGATGTGATTTCCTCATCAGCAGCAGAATATCCGTCTGAACTAGGAAACCTCTCCCTGCACAGCCTGCAGAGAAACAACACTGCTGTTTACTGCAGCACCAAAATCAGCGGAAACCGAGGAGGTAAGCAACACGAACAGTACAGAGGAGATAAAGTCCGAATCTGCATCACGGCTCAGCTTATTTATCTGATCGGGAAAAGACATAAATATTCTGTGATATACAAAAGTGTTGATACTCATCTGTGGTTTCCTCCCCGAGCAAATGAGCCCTTTGTAAATTAATTCAAACAAGAGCCGAGAGGAAACGCAGTGATTTAAAAGAACGAATCCAGTTTCAATCAGGAGAACTGTAAAAAGAAGTAAGCAGGAAAAGCTTTTAAGAGTTGTGGCACGAAAGCGAGTCGACAGTCCGACCTTTTTCCTGTTACTTTGTGGAGTTATTGAAGCCCAAACCTGCTCGCAGGATTTTAATACCAGCAGACCTTTTCTCCATCCTCTGGGAGAAGAAAAAGGAGGAAGATATAATCCTTTTCCCTGCAGGAGAGGAGACTAGCAGCGAATCAAATTACTCTCATAAGATGGGATGACCTTAGCTACACTTTATTCAAGGCTTCTTACCTCCACAATTTAACTGCTGTTCTTTTTTCCCCTCCACAACTTCTTGCCATGCATGAATCACAGGTTAAATGCATTCCTTTCAACTGCCGGCGCACCCCGGCGACGGAAATATAATTATGTTTTACAAGTCGACTCTTATCTGTAGCCTCCTTCATTTCCCCGCCGACTCTCGGCGTGTTTTGAGGGCTTTTCAGAAGTACTTTACGGTGTGTCAGGTTGCTGTTCCTCCGTGTAAATGCACCATTGTATCACTCAAAAGGTCTCCGCGCTCCGTATCAGGGAGGGAGAGAAAAAAAACATGGTGTAAATAACCTCCACGGAGCGCTCGGCCTCTTTGTGAGGGGAACATGCACAGTGTGAACTAACTGCTGCATAATAGAATATAAATGGTTTTCTGCCGTTTTCACACAGGAGCTCCTGGGTTCAGTTCCACTACGCTTCATCCTGCAGAAACACCCAAAACGGGGTTGAACCGGAGTTAAAGGGGAGGGTTCTGACTCGGCTTCATGGAAGTTCATCCACAAACCCAAAGAGTTTGCCGTCAAAATCAAGACGCTGCAAGATACACAGGTACGAGAACCGTCTTTGGTTCTTTTCTTTGGAACCAAGAAGTTTTTGATTGTGGAGATTTTGCTCCTGACTGTACGCCAACACAAATGAAACGCGTTTACTGCTGCACCTGGGCCTGCTGCTTCCATCATATAAAAGTATAAACTAATTTACTTAAACTTCTGCAGAACATTTCAGTTCTTTGGAGAAATAAAGCAGCACATGTCTATCATGTTGTGCATCACCAATCTGGAGGAAGGTCCCAGAAGCATTTTGGACCACTGCTGCACCGTTCTAAAGCACGCATATCTCAGATCCAGTATGTGGTGAATTATGAGCGGAAAAAAAAACACATTTTTCAGACTAGAATAATTCGAACAAAGGATGTGGTGGTCCTGCTCCGGCTAAATCACGAGCTCTCAGCGTGTTTTCTTCTCTCTGTGCGGTCGGTCATCAGAGATGTCAGAGGACAGGTGTCTGCAGGTAGACAAACTCTGACTGTGAGCTTTATCAGCCTGTCTTCATCTAATCAGCTCCCATTGTTCAAACCGTTGTATTCCTCATTAGCTGCCATTGTTAACAAGCGTGTTTAATTACGCTAGTTAGCAGAGCACCGGCGGAGCTTAAAACAAAATAATAATAAAATCCTCCTTCAACACGTCTTATTAAAATAGAAGGAGGAGAGAGGAGACAGGGAGAAGGAGGAATTAAGACGACAACAAGCAGGAATAACTGAAAAGATGCTATTTAAATAAAGAAAAGAGGAACAAAGAAAGACGGATAAAAATAGTCTGTGTGAAAGAAAACAAACAGTCTTTGTGTGGTGAAATACCTGCCAGGCTGCTGCCGCCGCCGCCGCCGCCGCCACCGCCACAGTTAGTCACCGTAGATCCCCGGGGAGAGCCTCTCCTGGGTTTCCTAAAACATGACAGCAAAGGAGGAAAGAAAACACGAGCGTCAGGAGTCTCCAAGCACAAAACAAATGATCCCCCGACTATTATGTAACCTTTGAAAAAAAAAGCTCCCAAAACAAGGTGAGGATTAGACCGACGCAAACGTCTCTCAGGTCTGACAGAGCGAGAGAGCGTGTTCGTCACAGAAACCCGGCAGGTTCAGATCAGACATTTGGATGTTTACTCTGATATGAAAATAGGCGTTTGTTAAAGTTTACCCGCAGTAAAGCCCTCTGAAAACTATCTTATATTAGGGTATTTACGGTAACACAGGAGGTCATAAAGGGGCATCAGCACTAATGTCTGGATCTGATCCCAGCTCATATCTGGTCCTGCTCGGGGTTTCTGCCTGTGGCCCCCCTCCTGAACAAAAACTTGTTCTTCTTTGAGTGAGATTTATGATTTCCTCCATTTAGGCTCCTCCCACTGAGGTCACTCCTTCGTCTCAGTCTTTCTAAAACTGCAGCTTCAATATGCTTCCTGCGCCCCTGCAGCGACAGGGGGGGAGGGTTGGATCTGTTTGGGGGGGTTTCAGGGAGTAGGTGTGAATTATGCAAATAAACGCGCTGACACAAACTTGGACGGGGATCCACAGAGGAGGAATTGGCTGAAGGTGGATTTGTTCACATGGCGGTGGAGGTATCAGTGCCCCCCTCCGCTCTCTCTCTCTCTCTCTCTCTCTCTCTCTCTACCTTGAGGCAGGAGCTTATCTTATATCCTGCCTTTTTTTAAAGAAGTGTCAGGATTAACATAAGCACCTCCGCCATTGTGCTCCCACTCAAAATAATTTTATCTTCCTGGGGCTCTCCTGGGAGACAATCGTCGTTTTATCAGGTGAGCGAATACCTCCATAACACCCCCCTGATAGTGTATGAAATGTGCTTTGGAGGCCCACCGCCTCTCTGTTTGCCAGGTTATATTTAGGAGCAGCACACTTCTTTCTGCAGGAAGGAGGGAGGATGACACAGAAAGGGCCCGGGGTGGGTGTTGGGGGGTGTTTGCACATAAACACCAGCTGATTTAAAGGTACAAAGGAGGATGAAAGTCGACGTTTCTTTGGATTATCTCACTGCAGAGCGGCGTCTGCACCTGCAGGTAGAAACACTGAGTCAGAAACACCACTTAGAGAAGTTTTAACGCTCCCTCCTGGTTTACCCCCGCTGCCCTCTGGAAATTGCCCATTAATAGGATTTTTTTTCCCTCTCTCTCTCTTTTGGCAACTGAAGTCGACAGGAAGCAGAAGAGGAAATGATATAATCGTCACAGACTGGAGCGTTTCTCCTGTGCCCAGCTGCTCCACGGCTGACCTCTGTGACTGAGAACAGGGAGGAAGAGAAGGAGCTGGTATGCCTGGTATCCCTCAATGAGAGGGTTCAACGTTTTATTGTCGTTTCCTCAGCCGAGGCGGCGAGTGTTGTGACTGTTGGTGCATGTTATCTGTCAGTGTGAGTGCAGAAGGAGAGTTTTAAACTTTTCAGCTCCATAATCACAGGACCAAGATAGTAGGATTAATTTAGCAGAATAAAAATACTTTTGTATGTTCGTATGGTAGAAGTTAAAGGACAGAGTGTTTCATACACAGGTGAGTCTGTGTGATGAGATGCTTCGTTTCAGGCTGGTCTGCAGAAAACTCGCCTCCTCTGATCACGTCACTGTAAAATGCTTTTGCTTATCTCTGTAAATGCCTCAAAGGTTGTTCTGCAACAAAGAAATGCAGAAAACTGCTTCCTATCAGTGTCTCTGAACCTGGGAACCAATTAATAACTTTGCAGGACTATCGGATTATCGTGCATTTGACTACAAGGCACGACCGAAGAGACAGTTTTTGCATGCAGGTTTGCACACTTTTGAACCTCGAGCACAAAAAAACACTAAATCCAGCCCCGGTACGTTAATGCTAAGAGGTGTAAACCCTGCTGTAGAACGAGGAGATATCGAACGTTTCTGTTTTACTTTAGAGGATGTTTGTCATTTTGTTGTTGCAAAGTTGGACCTGTATAAGCCACTTTTACCATGATATCTCTTTTTTTACTCTAGCAACACTTGAAATTGTGTTTTGTAGGTCGTGTTTGATTCAGAGTCAAATTAAAACAACCTGCAGCTCATCAGAAATCTAAAACAGCCGAGGATTTCAGGCTACATTTATGCATCATTGGGGGAAAAAAAACCAGCCCTTCATTTTTCTATATATTTTTCCTGCTCGGATACAAGTACAAATTAAAATTTGGATCTTTATTGACTCCGACTGTCGGATAAACCTCTCTGCAGGTTAAGATGCGTTTACAAGCTGAAATTAAAAATAACATTCGCAGCATGTTTCCTGAAACAAACGAAACCTTCCTGACTCAAAGCCATGTGTGCAGAGAGCGTGTTTTATAAATATGGAACAAATATTTACAGGCTGCTTTTAGATTTTATTCTCTCCGACTCTTCTGCTCACGTTCGGGTGTGAAATGATGAATATTATGCGGACTCTCTCCTGTGTTTGGACGTGAGCGATGGACGCAGAGATATTTTCGAAGAGTTCCTCGGCTAATTAGGCGCACAGTTTGCCATCTCATCCAAATTTCTCTTGACTGGGGCAATGAGAGAGAAACCTCGGAGCCAAAGTATAATATGAAAGTTTTGCCCCCCTCCATCTGCTGAATTCGCACACGGAGGCTTAATTGGGGCCAAATCTTGTCAAAGCCTCTTCTCCAATATTAGTTTAGAGCATGTTCACAGGAGATCACCATAAGGAGGAAAACTTTTAACAAACTAACGCGTACTTTCTTTCTGTTTTTGAAATTATTCAAAGCCTTAATAACACCTCTCAGAGAACCATAATAATAAAATCCAACGGCAGCAAAAATACATCCTCAGAAATGACCATCAGAGTTAATGACCGCCGCGCCGACGCACTACATCCAACTAAAACTTCATCCTAAGGAGCGTTATTTGTCATTTAGGGCAAACTACGTCTAAAAACAGGCCCTCATTTGTACAGAAAAAGACATTTTCTCTGGATTCCTTATAGAAAAATTAAGTCTCTTTATGCTCCCGTCAAAGGTTTCTCTGCAGGAAGGATTCAGTTCGATCTCAGGATGGCAAATAGAGAATAAAACCTGATTTAAAATTAGTGATTAGTGACATCCAGGCATCAGAAACCTCCGTTTTTATTCCCTCAACTCTAGTTATCTTGTTTTTTTAAGCAGCTAAAAGTGGTCTGAGTTTTAAAACAGGAGCTTCATTTGCACAAACAGACAACAGCTGAGCGGAGAGCGGGGCACAGAGATGCTGCGAATGGAGAGGGAGACCACACGAGAGGACCCTGTGATTCAATAACAAACATGTTCCTGCAGACAACATGATGCATAACAACTTCTTTACATTAAAAGTTCATCATCGGCTCGAATAAAGGGGCGTAAAACAACATCAGAATAAAAACATCGTCAGATCAGGTGTTTCCTCTGGACAGTGTCCCTAAAAAGCTGCTGTCGTCTCTTTTTAATGCTTGTGACATTAAATCAACTGATACAGATCCAACTTATCATTTTTCTGTTCAGCAAAGATCTGCACAACTCACGGAACAAATCTGTAGGCTGTTTTCCGATGGTCAACACCAGCGGTCTGAACTGTAAAAACGAAGCCATGCTCGTGCACAAGAGTTTATTTGGCTTTGGAGACATAAACAATCTGCAGCCGTTGGTCATCCAGTGATACAACCACACTAAGAAATAAATCAAACAATCTTTGCAGGAAAAAGGAGAAAAGTCCTCGTGTTTGTGTGTCTCACTGTAAGTCTGGATATGAGCGCATCGGTGATGATTACAGTCTGACATCTCCAACAAAAATGAATCAGATATCTGTTTTGATTTCTCTGCAGCTTTAATGGAGCAGGTTTGACTGGGGTTGATGTTTTACTGATGGCTAATGTTTGCAGTCGTCGGTGTCCGCACTTAAAAAGCCGGGGCTGTTTACTAGCATGACAAAATGAGAGCAATTTTGTGTCTAAAGACTGATTCCCACTAAAGCGAAAGAGATACTGCTGCTACTCTTTTACCTCGCCTAATAAACACTGACTCCATTTCAGCCCGGCTTGTTAAAAAAGTGTAAAAACATGTATTTTGGTTTGTATTTGTTTCACTCGGCGGACTCGGTAATGCATTTTGTTTTTGTTCAGAGCGACTCTCAGCTGTCAGCGTTTGAGACGTGTCCTCCTGGGGTTCAGCAACACTTACACGCTCACCATGATAGCTGTGCATTAATGTCACTCACTGCCTTCTGCTCACACACACACACACACACAACCTGCCTGTTTGTGCTTACACACACTCACACACACACAGACAAATATAGTGCGGGCTATTTTTGTCACACAAACATGTTAGCAAACACACAGGAAGCTATAGGGAGCACACGCATGCACCTATGGACTCGATCTGTTCATGTGTGTGTGCTGCACATTTGTATGCACGTGCACACGCGTACACACGCGGCCGAGTTCACACCTTCAGCTGCAAACATTGACACACTAAAACACACATTTATTCAGATTGTTCTCCCCCTGCACGCACAGAGATGTTTGTTTGTGCGATTGTGTGTTTGTACCTGCTGAGCCGCACACCTTTGTGTTTGCATCATATTTACGTGGCTGCAGCGTCAGTCCCCGGCGTTATAATCTCCGACACATTTACATAACATATATTACCCCGCTGTGTTGACGGCCGAGTAAGTACTCAAGCTCATCCCGGCCCCTTTTCATATTTACGGCGTGACTGATTTAAGATGGACTGATTGTGGGGATTTAATTACGGGGGACACAATGGCCACACAATTCTGTTTTCTTCTCCTCCCGTCTTGCGAGGCGCCGCTGACACGCCGCACACTCGGCTGCACACTGCCGAGGAATGTTTTACACTCCAAATGAGCTGTGCTTGCAGAAGAATTTAATTTGATCTGCCGCTGTAATTGTGCTCTCAAAAAAAAAAAAAAAAGGAAAGAAAAAGTGGTGAAAGAGGAAGAGGAGGAGGAGGAGGAGGGGGGAGGAGGGGGGTGTGTGGAGCATGCTGGGGTGGGAGGGGTCGGAGTGCGTGCAACTTTAAAAATGTAATATGCACAAAAAGTAAATTAACTCAAGAGGAGAGGCCCTTGTGATGTGTTGACACTTGCACTGGGAAGAGTGGAAGGAGGAGGAGGAGGAGGAGGAGGTGGAGGAGGGGGAGGGGTTAGGAAAGGGAGAAGGGGGAGGGAGGGGGGGGGTGAGAGGGAAAAAGAAACGGCCATGATAAAACACCACAAAGAAAAGCGTTATGAATTTTATTAATGACTTGCAAGACAGTATGCAAAACATCAAAGGTCCACGGGAAAGATTAATGACCCTGTGTGAGACTGTTTAATTACCTCCAGCTAATTAGATTCTTGACCAAATTTTTAATATCTGCGTTCGTGCCCGACGCCTAATTGAGATTCCACCATATTTATCAATCTTTCAAAATAAAAAACTATCCCAGAGATTTTTTTTTTTTGTTCCCTTTAGCCTTTTTTTCTCCTCCACACTTTGTCGCCGTTTAAGGAGCGATTCTGAAGCCCGGCCAGGTTAAAGTCGACCCGGGAAGGAGGATTGATGCTTATTTACCAACAGGACCAACAGGGGGAGGAGGGGGGGTATCAATCTGATCTGGTTTCTAATGAAGTGTGCGTGCTAATAAACAGACTTAGCTGGCTCTGTCAACCCTCCTTGTCGTGCCGTAATTCTCTTATCTGGACCTGGAGAGCTCTCCGAGGGGCCGCTCTCCATCTACGTCTCGTTTTCTTCCATTTTCCTCCTCTGGATAATCCCAGTTACTGTTTACCAGCGCACACACACACACACTGACACACACACACACATGCACAGATTCATCTAAATGGTTGCCTTTGAACTCAGTGCATATTATCTGTTCTGTGACCCTGATGTTGTTGTTGTTGTCGCTGCGGCTGCTGCTGCAATAATTGCACTCGGATTATTGCGGTGAAGTCAGAGAGGACTTTTCCTCTGGGTTTGAGGGCTCGGTGGCAATTTGTGGAGCAATTTCTGCATCTCTGGGTTCTTTAAAGACGGAGATTATGATCTCGTGTTCATTACAGAATCTACCTGGAGGTCACAAAGACTACCAGAGAAAAGAAACCCAAAATAAGGCTCACAAAAACAGAAACAAAAACAAGGAATTTCACTTTGTTTTCTCGCTCTTTTCCTCTTCATCTGATTATCACAAAAGGCTTTGGCAACAATATTTCTATTATATTCATGCAAGTTAATCAAATGGGAGTGCATTACTGTCTTATGCTTTTTTATTACAGTTTGTAGGTAAAATAATGGATTTTCAGACGTTTTAGGCTCAGAAATGTATGAGAAATGCCTGAAAATGGAAAAATCTAAAAGGAAAATCATAAATTTAAAAACAGACGGAGTGAAAGGTTTAACTCAGTATTTGCACATCCGCTTCTTTTTCTGCTAAAATCATAAAAAATTGATCCAAGACTGTTTTTCAACCTTCTTATGCCAACATTTTTTACAAGCAGGTTAAATTTGATGTTTCTGTTTTATTAGAAAAGTGACCAGAGATTCAAATTGACATAAAAACAATAAAAATTAATTTATGGAGCTGATTTTCACTTTATTCCTCTTCACTTTTCTCTTTTAACACCCTATTTAAGTTATTTTCACGATTTCAGAAGCTCTTGGAGTCACTCTCCTGCACACTTGCACAAACATTTAGGAAACAGACCTCTAACTCTTCTCCTCTGTGCAGAACAAAGCTACACGCTTGTGTTTCCACGCACAGCACCATCTGCTGTCCAAACCTCTTCGCTGCAACCCTAACCCACTTGAGTGAGAGTAAACCTGCACACAAACAGAGCGGCAGCCCTGCAGCACTTCACTGCAGAATCATATCACTGTGTCAAGTTTCTCAGCACTAGTTAGAGAGGGGGTTCAGCCTTAATTAGCATGCGTTCCTTATGAAGATGTATCTAAGAAGGCCTCGTTTCTCCCCCTTGATACCTCTCATTTTCTCTCTTCCTGCCTTTACTTTCCCTCAGCCCGTTCTCTCCTCTCTCTCATTCTTCCACTCCCTCCATCCTTTTTCTCTCCATCCATTCATTCCCATCTGCCTCTGTGTCTCCCTTTAAAGACGGAGAACTAAATAGGAGCAGATCACCTCCCTCGCTGGCGTTTCATTAGAGGCAATTAGAAAGCCGAGGCTGCAGCGTCCCATAAGGCTCGGCGGGGAGAGGCGAGGCGCGGGCCGCATTAGCTCGTTGAGATGAAGTATGTATGACAACGCTTTCATCAACGTGCAACAATTCCTCGCCAACGTCTTCCGGGCCGAGTGTCAGAGGTACCATTCTGACAATTATGACAATTAACACTGTCAAAATAAAGCCATTAGCTTAGCGAGAGGGCAAAGCAATACGCTTAATTACAGGGTTTTCTGTCAAAACGGATTCCCTTCAGAACACTTCCAAACGGGGAGAATTCACCGAGTTGGACGTGTGAAGAAGCCGGGGCTGAAATAACCAGAACCTAGCTTTGGGTGGAGGTATCTGATGAACTGAAGACTCAAACTTCTGCAGATTGAAAACTTTTATATTTTGATAAAAATATCTCTGATAAGATGATCCTGTCTGAGTAAATCGACACCCTTTTATCCGCTCAAAGTCGTGTATGCCGACAGTTTTTGAGCTGGTTATGGTCACAAAAGTTACTAAACAATGAGTGGAAAAGTTAACATGGTTTATTGACGTATTTATTTTATTGTGGATGGAGTGAAAAGCTTCTTTAGATGAATTTTCCTGAAAACTGGAAGAGTGAAACTTCACCTCAGTTCAGTCTACTTGTTTTTAAATGCACTTTTATGAGGGACGCGGCTCTGAATAGCTGCCGTGCAGGCCCTCTCCCTCTTATCAAAGCATCTTAAGTGTTCATTAAAGCTCCATATATCTTCTTAATAAATGAGATTTGGCATCTAAATGGCATCTGAAATGATTAAAGTAAAGGTTATAAATCAAATCTTCTGCGAACGCTGATCCTGCATAGTTGTAATGCTGGCCTGCAGGCTGTGTGCACTGTTTTTCTCTCCAGTTTACTCTACCTTAAATCAACAGGACTCGCGCTATATTTGTCCGGGCTGCAGGAATTTGCTGAGAAACTGAGAGGTACCGGAGCTTTATTCCTGCAAAATGATCTAAGATTGAGTTTTGTCACCTTTAAAATATGCAGCACTACCCATCTGTGTGCAGACGCTCCGGGGGAATCTGCTCGACTTTGACGTGACAATGTGAAAATACAATTACACAATCTCGAGGGAAGCCCCGGCCTGTCACATTATATTTACCTTGGGTCAAAGCGCACATGCACTCGCAGCTCTGTCTGTCTATCCATCTATTCGCCCGTCTATTTACAGGGGATGAGGTCATTTTTCATGCAGCATCTCCTCTGGGTGCTGTTTTTGACTCTTCCAATGACTGAATCTGGTTTCGTCTCTTATTGCATTACCTGTTTACAGACATCCAAAGCAAATAGAAGCTGGAGGTCCCAGTGGGAATCATATGACGGCGTAAGTGTCATGCACATGCAACAATAGGATCTCAGAGTCTGTGCGATGGAGTCAAAGGTGCTGCATGTTTTGCATGATGTGATGGATGCAGGGAGACAATGCAACGGCTAAATGCAGATCTTGCAGGACACGGATAGATGCAAATACTTCCAAGCGGTTTACTGAAGTCTGTGACCCTAAAACAACCCCAGACCTGCAGACGGTTGCCAGATCAGCCCGTAGTCCCTGGAGGTCAAAAGTTTGGGTCTAAACCTCTCTTCATCCGCTGACCTGAACCGGAGAGAGGCGCAGTTCTGGGTCAGCTCTCTGATTTGTTTTTAATTAACAATCTCGAACAAACAAAGCTCTAAAAAGTGGAGGAAATAATTGATCGGATCTTTAAATGCATCTGTGATTAGCAAACGGGAAACACTGACTCACAGAGGCGGAGGGACGTGGGGGAAAGTTGGGGTGAAGACCACAACTGTCAAGGAGATCCTGCCCTCAACTGAGCAGATCAGACAGCAGCGGTTAGCCGGCTTTTAATTTACTGTATGAACCCAAATCAATTTGCTAACGTGCTTCTATGATGGGAATTTACCCTGTTTATGGAAATTAAAGATAAATTAAAGAGAGAGTGCGTGCCAACATGATTGGAAACAAATACAGGTCGTATTAATAAATAAAAACATGAGTGAAAGTTTCTCTTCACTCAGACTTTACTAGAGAGTATCAGCTTTAACATCATACATGTATCTTCACTGTTTTTCCAGAAGCTGTAAAAGCGACAGTAGAAGAAAAGATGAAATTAGAAACTTCTGCTTTGACTCTCACAAAGTTAATCCAAACAAGTTCAGACAGGCTGAATAAAATCACATCAGATATGGCGGAGAGGAAACGCCTGTATGTACAGTTCAATTAAAAGCACATATATCATCCGACTTCCTCAATCTTATTTCCTGAGTTCATCCACATCTTGATGGAATCAGACTGCAGAGTGATCGTCACCGCTGCCGGTGCTTCTCCCTCTTTTTTTCGAGTTTTTATCAAAAAGGAAGCCGATGAGTCTCTTCAGATAAGGACGGGAGCCCTTCTCTTAAAGCTTCATGCTCATAAATGAAAATGTTCTCCATCACGCCAAACGCTTATTGTATTTCACAGGGGGCTAAATGCAATTTGTATCATTTTCTGTGGCGCACATCAAAAGGAAGTGGGCCGCACGCGATGACTCACTGCGCCGAAAACGCTCTGTTTCCAATCGAAGACAATCAGATCTGTTCTGTGTTTGTTGGTTTCTCTTTTAACATCTCCATTTGTTTGATAAGGCTGCGAGCAGTGACGGTAAATGGGCGGGTGAGCCGAGGCAAAAAACAGTGACATGGTCCTCCTGTTAGTGATCGGCCGTCAGCTTATCAATAAATGACATCATCTGCCCCCCAGACGTCTCCCCGCCTGTCACAATCACGGCACACGGACCGAGGAAAGAAAGACCAAACGGAGGGAAAAACAGAAATGTCTACTTCCCCCATTAGAGCTGTCTGCAGTCAGAGACGCTGGGGACAGTGAGTCCGTCTGTGGAGACACAAACTTTGAAATGAAACGACGACCCCGGTCCAAAAACTCTCAGCAAACACACACAAACCGCACAAAGACTCATGACAGCGGGTTCTGAACATCTGAGCAGGATCCAAACGGTTCTGGATCTCATTTTAAAGGTGGGACCTTCAGGTCAGCATGATGTGAAGCTGAAAAAACTCCTTATTTCTCTCACACTAAAGTCGAAAACATACAGGATCCGTATTGAGCGCGTTGTTCCGTATTTTCTCCGTAGTGCAGCGTTGGGTATCTCATACAGGATCAGTGTATTTGGAGCCTAGCAGTCGACTTCCTGTCTGAAACGATCTTCTCTGTGTGGGTTGACGTGCACTGGAAGCATAGAGCAAATCGACTTGTCGCGTATCTTTAGCAGAGCTGCTCTCGATACGATGCTGCGACGTTTGCTGCGTGATACATGACGCTGCTGCCAAATACGCTGATCCTGTATGTTTCAGCTTTGAGCCTCTGCCTGAACACTTTGTTCTGAAAGTGAGACACAGTCTGTGGGTGTTACTTTTTACACAGCTCCAATTGTCAGCTGTTCGATGAAGGTCTGAACAGCCGAGACTCAAATCCAGAGTGAAAACATCCAAACTTCCTGCTGTTTTCTGGATCTTTGGGATCACTCAGACTTTTCCTCTCGACGGGGCCAACGTGGAGCAGAGAGGAGCTGCTCAGAGAGAGTTTATTTCTACGTCATTAATTTTGCGTAATTTATCGTAACGGCATCAGTTTCCACCGCTTTATTTGTCTTAATACGAGCAGGAGAAACAAACGACAGCCAGATGTAAACCAAATACTCGTCCTCTTGTCCTCCCTCGCAGCACAAGCAGCCGTCTGTTATGGTTGGACTTCTTCTTCCTGATGAAACCGTCCCCATGACCGAGCGCTCGCCCGGGAAAGTCCCGCTCCGCTAACAAAGACGCTGCTTTGTGTTTTGGTTGGAGTTCGCCATTGTGTCTGAGATCTGTCAAAGAGCATCACCGAGTGTGTCAGGAAGATTGTGGAAAGTTTGAGAGAAGAACTGCGCCATGTTAGCATGTGACTTTTCGCCACAACAGCGCTCTTGTTAGAGCGGAGACACTGAGTTCCTTCAACAAAACATGAAGATATGATGGGGATTAAAAAGCACTGCCAATGTTTCTGATCTCAGAGGTTATTTAGAAATCGTTTTTAACTATCACTCACTGATTCACCACTTTATGAATCACTAAACATCAATAATATCTGCAAGTCAAAACGACAGAGCGATCTGACTCTTTGCAACTACTCCAGCAAGTTGCAGAAAAAGCCTCAACTCTAAAGAACCGGGGCAGAAACACAACTTTGTCTGAGCTGTGATGATGGCGGAGCTCATTAGCTGTCAGCTGTTAGCCTGTGAGGCCAAGTGTGTGTGTGTCTGTGTGTGTGTGTGTGTGTGTGTGTGTGTGTGTGTGTGTGTGTGTGTGTGTGTGTGTGTGCTCTTTCTAATATGTTTGGGAGAACAGCAGGGGTGTATGACTCGGAGCAAACCTGGAGCAAACGACACAGTGGGAGGTTTTTCTTTCTGTCACAAACTCGAGTCACAAACACTCCACCGCCGTCTTGTTTTCCCTTGAATTAAATAAAACAAACACAGTAAACCGGGCGTGATAAACTGGTGTAATCCCGGCAGAAATTCCCGCCGAACTTTCGCCTGATTTCCGATTTCGTCTTCCAGCTCGGAGAAGTTTTGAAACTGGGCTGTTAGGAGAAAATTGGGAGGATGACAAACAAGGTTCACAGCTGAATTATTCGGTCTTTGGCCCTCCTGGAGGGAGGAGGTTCTCCGCACTGTCATGTTCAAACCGATCGAAAATAGGATTTATACTTTCTAGAGTCGTCTCATGTCTTCTAAATTATCTTTTTGTTTGTCTGTTGATGTGACAGATTACATTTTAGACCGACCGTCTTTGTCTCTTCAAAAACTGAGCTTTGAGAAATCTTCTCTTACGCTTGTAAGTGATCAATTTGTTTTCAAAGATTTCGTATTTTCGTTAAATTGTGGCCTTAATTAAAAACTGAAATCATTTATTTTGTTCAAGGTTTTAACAAAGTTTGTGAATCAACATTTTAGGGATTTAAAGAAGCCAAAAAGGACTAGAAAAAGGAAAACTAATCTCTGCAACAATAAAGGTCTACAAATGGAGTGAAACTGAAATAATCACCTTAAAATCCTGCCTGTGAAAGTTAAAGTATATCTGAGCTCCAGGTTTCTCCCTCCTCGCCGCTCTCACTCTGCTAAATCCATATTTCCTTCAGTGCGTCCGCTCCTGATCGGCGTCATCAATCACTCAGTCCGAGTCATCTGAGACCGGGTCTGAGACTTCAAAGACGGCGGCTCGGGCTGGGCCTGTCACGGCGGCACAGCTGAAAGCGTATTGTGATTTCACAACAATGGCGAGCCATTACAGCGGAGACTGTTATCAGGAGAGGGCTACCAGGGACGGTTCCTGCCTCATTGTGAGCCATCACGGGGGATTGTGTAGAGGAGTGAGTTCAGACTAAACATATTAGAGTGTGAGGAGACACACCTGAGCTTATCTGATCAGGAACTCCACAATGTCAAGAAATCACTACATTTTTATACCGGGCGTCGCTGTCGTCAGAGTTTTCTTTACATTTAAACCTGATTTATTTCCCTCCGAGCGCGGCTGCATCAAAAGTTTAGTCAAGATGCCGACTTATGTGTGTGTGTGTGTGTGCGCTGCCGTCGAGTGTGTCAGTGTGCGTGTGCGCGAGCCTCTTTTTTCTTCACAAGACCGAACACAACATGTGGACCGAAATCGAAGAGTATCTTTCATGAAAAGTCAGTGTGACATCTTTTAATGATAAAGCTGCAGATGAATTGTTTATGGTGCTTTTACGTGTGCGTGTGTTTTCCTGCGTCTGTGTGTGTGTGTGTGTGTGTGTGTGTGTGAATAATTCAGAGAAAAAGCCGTTTGTTTTCAGGGGGGGCGAAGGCAGAGACACATCTGAAACATATGGGAGGAAATCACATTGAAAGCAGTGAGCAGTAAATTAATGGTAACAGATGCCAAGATGTCTGGCTAGTGTGTTTTTTTTTCATCCTCCTTTTGTTTCTATGGAGGCTTTTGCATTCTTAATGTTGGGGATAACACAATAAAGACTTCCTGCTCTCTCTCTTTGGAGGATCGGCCCTGAAAATCTGCTCTACCTGATCAGGAGCGACTTATCGGCACCAGTTTGAATTCACCGCGGTGACAATGACGCTGTAACTCGTTTACGGTACCTCTGTTTTCTCTGTTTCCCACTTGAGGAGGATATTAGAAATATGTCTAAGCTTGAGCAGAGTGTGTGTGTGTGTGTGTCTAAGTGTGTGTGTGTTTCAGGGGGGTTGGCCTATGTCCAAGCATGAGCTGCAACAAAGACAACCTTGCTCTTAATGGCACATATCTGGAAGATGGAGGAGCCCGATACATGAAAGCGCTGTGATCATTACACTGATAGCAATTATCCTTCAGGAGGCTTTAATGGCGGCGGCCTCACTCACACACACACACATGCACGCTCATGCACACACATGTACAAGCTTGCAATCAAGGGTGGCGGGCAATTAAATGCGATGCTTTTTGGTGAACCTCTACGAGCGAACAAAGCCTGATGACAAGAGATTTAATAAAGAAAAAAGGCGAACAAAAGAGGAGAAATCAGGACAGGAGAGGAGCGAAGAGGAAAAAAAAAGATATTAATGTTGTTTATTAATCGATTCTTAATGTGTAGCAGTGGGCTGCGGGGGGAGGAGGGGGTGAGAGAGGGGTCTCTGGAGTGCAGCCGTGGCTGGCAGGAGTATGATTGAGTGCAGGGGCCAGTGTGACGGAGGGACAAAAACAACAAGGTAATTAAAGCTTAAAGCGTGCAGTTTACGCTCTGCCATCCGTGACAGCCGAAGGTGTCTTCCATCTAAGCTCCCCCCTCCCCTGAATGAAAAATAAGTCAGGTAATTGTCATTGTGCTCTGCATGTCATTATTTATTAAACGGGTAATTCATCTTTGTAGAGAGAGCAGGGGAGAGCAGGTAGAGCTGCTTTATTAGTCCTAATATAACAGGCGGCTTTATCAAATCAGGCTTTTACAGGAGAAATGACAAACATACAAACAATAATCTGCAGTATTATGCTCTCCAGAGGGCGGGTGTGTGTGTGTGTGTGTGGAAAGCTGCCACATGCAGAGAAATCTTTGAGTTAAAGTTTTCACCACACACACACAAAAACACTCCTTTTTCGAAAGTATGCTTTTTTTTTTTTTTTTTCAAAGTGCGGCGACGGGTTGACAAAAGAGATCGCTCCCCGTTGTTTTCGCTCGCGCGGTTACAAAGAGGCGCGTAAAAAAGTTACAAGGTTGTCCCCCGTGGGGTTAGATTTCAAACAGCACCTGTCAAAGCAGATGGGGCATTTAAATAAGAGTCTTTAAGAGGTATTTGTTACAGCCGAGCTCAGGAGTACCTGCTGTGCTCGCCGAGGCTTTTCACGGCTGTCGTCGCTCTCACAGAATCTGTTTGCTGTGTTTGCGGGGATAAACATCACATTAAAAAAAAAAAAAAAACAAGAAACCCACTGAGGCCACAAATTACAACAGAGAGGACTGCGTTTATGTAACTGCTGAGGCAAGTTAAGCAAAGTCTGCTCGTATGACTGTGTATGTATGTGGAGATGGAAACGAGCTGCACGTCTGCACATGTTTGAGTTCATATCTGTGTGTTTTGACTTTAAAACGACGGTTACTCACCTGTCAACAACATTTTAAAGGTGTGCATGAAAAATCAAGTCTCTGAAACTTGAATCCAAGAACTCACCTCAGTGCATTTCTGCAGGCGTAGGTCAGCTCTCCTCTCACTGTACCCTCCAAACTCAACACGACACGCTGGTTCGGAGACGCACACGGCGGCGTCCCGGCGGCACTCGGGGCCTCAGCCTCAGCGTGAGCTCACACCTGGGAATTCAGAGAGAGACTGTGACTAAACATCACCCCTGGACGGATATGTCCTCTCGGCTAAAGACAAGCAAACAAAACCACCTATAAGACGGTGGGACTCCTCAGAGACCGGCTCTGGACTGAAGGAGACCCAAATTAACAAATAAACACGTCAATCTGCAGCGTTGGTAGGTTAGTGAGGACAAAGGTGAAGCATCAGGAGCGTTTAAACTTTCAAACACGTTTATTTAAGAGTTAAAAAAGGTGATGATTTTAGTGTGAAACCCTCAATCAATCTGCAGGAAAGGAAATCTCTACATGCAGGTGCTCGATTTTTCATTTTTTATGCGTATCAGAGGAAGCAGACTTTTGTTTGGAGGAGCGACGTCTCAGTGGAAATGTATTCTTCTTAACGACCAGCAGGGGGCGACTTTACTGGCTGCAAAGAGACGGAAAAATCGTCCCACTTTGTGTCAAACGTTTTCATTGTGAGTCTAAGGAGTCTGCTTAGATGTTACTCTGAGTAAAAACAGATTTTATTATTTTTGACTTCAACCATGCAGGCAGCTGTGACTTATATGTCTCTTTCAAAGTCTTTTTTTGCAGAATGGGATAATTATTTTTATTAAAACTAAAGTTTAACTAACATCTTAGACCCCTGATCCCACAGTCCTGCCTCTGAGCATGTCTTTATTTCTTTTAAAACAATCATGCAGAAAATTCCACATTTCGTAGTTTGATTTTTGTAGTTTCTCTAAAGTCAGTAACAACATCCTCCAGATCTCAGACGGCGCTCCTTTACGGTCCGACTGTTCGCCCTGATTTGAGAAATTGATGAAAAGATCAGGGAGAAGAGGAGAGGAGGAGCTGACAGTCCAGGAGCCGCCATGTTTGAGTCCGATCCCCTCCTGAGAGGACTTCCTGTCACTCCTCCGGCAGCCTGCGTGTTTCATCAGGGCTGCAGCCACCGGGGGGAACCGGCAGGGGCACGAGCTGGAGGTCAGCACGCTCAGTCCCCACCCCCCTCCCTTACCTCCCCACCTAACGCCACAGCATCCAGCCTTCCTCCATGACAGAGAGGAGACTTCTTTAATTCACTGGTGGCTTCAGCGACCGTCTGTCATTTCCATCTCTCTGCGGCCCGTCCCCGTCTTTCCATCAGCGGCTAAATAAATAAAAAATGGGGACGTCCTCTTGTTCTTCACATGCTAAACTTCATTCGGATTGTCAGACACTTAAGAACTGACAAAACACTTTCTCCGACTCCCCGTCATTCCCTCTGCTGTCAGAGGAGATAATAAATAAAAATGACTCCTGCGTGGGTGGAGAGAGAGAGCATCAAGAGATGGACAAAGTGTTTCCAGGAGCCTGTGGGGAAAGTCGGGTTAAAACCGCCGACCAGCACAGGCGTTGATGTATACACACATACACTTAGGATGCAGGCGGGCGGCCCCCTGCTCCCCAAAGGCTTATAATGGGAATAGGCAATGTGACAAAGAGTTAAAGGCATGGCAGGCCGCTGTCCCAGATAATAGGACAAGCTGTCCAGAGTTCCCGCGTCTTGCTTTGGTGCGGTCAAACAAGGCCTAATGTGGCGACTTTGCGACCAATGGGGGTTTGAGCGTGGGTTGGGTGAGTAGATAAACTAAATACAGACAGGCCTCAGCAGACTCTGGATGTGTGAAAAACCTCTGTGCTGGGGCATGATGGGAAAACAGGAGCTTTGCAGAGGCAGATCATTTGCTGAAAGTCACCCGCAGCAGAGAAGGAAGAGCGAAAATAAAAAGGTAAAAAACGAGCGCAGAAGTAGAAATCGGCGGTAAATCCGTGGACATGAAAGCCTCACAAACAACAGCGTGCCCTTGCTTTGTGGGGGTTTGTGATACTTTGCGAGTGAAGGACAATTGGTCCTCGGTGTAAAGTAAGCGCTTGGCTTTTAACGGACCTCTGCATGCCAAGTCCTCGGCAGGCGAGGCTGGGGACGCTACCTTCGCTGTCATTCAGCCCCATCTCGTCGACTAATCTTCTTGGTGCAATGAAAGAGCTTAACAGCTTTGCAACACTATCCCTCCCCAAATGTCATTATCACAATGTACTGCGCCGACCGAGCGTCTCCAACCGGCTCCCTGCTTATCGTTTTCTTCTTCATGGGAAGTTGAAGGCAGACGTCCGCTGACATTCAGAGAGCTCTCAGACAAACACGCTCGTTACCCAGAAGTCAGAACTGCAGTTTGACTGAGTTAGACCGTCTTTGGTGTTCGGACAGAAACGTGACGTCGCCGCTGAAAATACAGAGCGGGATCGAGAAGCTTATCAGGAAACGTTTGGAGAGACGCCATCGGTGGAGAGAGGGGACACCCCTACTTGGTGGAAAGATCTCAGCACATCACTGCGGTGAAGCTGAGCGCTGAAATCATGACGGCGTGATCTGAAACAACGATAAGAAATGCTGCGTGATGATACGATCAAATTTAGAGTTTTTAAGAAGACCTCAGCTGCACGCACTCTTCCTCAAAACCTTTTTTCTACACATGCAAACAAATGAAATCAGAGTCGGATTTCATCTGCAGTCTTTGTCTGAGATTTCTGATGTCAGCAAAATAAAATACTCGACTATACGGCGCTGTTTAACAACCTTTTAACCAGACGACGTAAAAAAACACCCCTGTTTTCTTCATATTCCTGCTTTAAAATGTCATATTTCACGCATTAAATGTTAATTTGCATGTTTTTTATCCATCTTCCCCTCCCCGTCCGTCCATCTGCAGCGTCAAAGTCACTCTAACAATCTCTAAAAGAAAAGTGAAACTCCAGAATAGACTTTCTCTCGTCTGTAATGAGTCAAACACTCGAGCTGACGCGCTTGGGTTGCAGCCTCCTGTCTCTGCAGATGTGAATTCAAGTGACACATTGATATGCAAGGAGAAAAAAAAAACAGAAAAAACACTAAAACTCACAACCGAAGGCCTCCCCAAAAGGCAAACACATAACTAAACCTGTGCGAGGAAGAAGAAGCAGCGGGGAAATTAGCGACAGAGCATTATAATTTGTCACTGATGCATAAATCTTGCTGACGTGCTCAGTCACTTTAATGGTGCCGCGGCTGCTCGGTGGAAGGCTGTGCAAACTTGCGCAGTTGCAGAAAAACAGCAAAACTATATGTTCGAACATCACCTTATTTGCATAATTTACCAAAAGCCAATGAGGCAGCTCAAGGAGTGCGGGTGATAGTAATAAGTGTTTGGGAAAGGCAGAAAGATCACTAATGGTTCGCCTATGGGGATTTCTCCACGCCATGGGGGAGGAAAATGAGAAATATTTTTCAAACAGCGGGGGTAAAGGTTTTAAAACTAGGAGCACATGGGGAGATAAAGATGTTCCTGCCACGGGGTGCTACGCGGGAAAAATGCAACGGCGAGGATGACAAAAAGAATGCCCCCGTAATTTCGGCATTAAGAGGTAATAATCATGTTTCACCGATGATATTAAAAACGGTAACCCGCAAAGCCGGGCTAGAATAGATAAATATATAAATAAAAAGTGGAGAGGGAGGAGAAGAGGAGTGGGCCCATCAGGTAGAGGAGGTAATGAGGTGGTGGGTGGGTGGGTGGGGAAGCAAGGGAGGAGGGGGAAAAGGAGGAGGAGGAGGAGGAAGGGGGAGGAGGGGCTGCGGTGGCGGCGGCGGCGCCCATCACTAACTCAGTGTGAGAGTAAACAAAGAGTGAGGAAAACGGGGAGGAAGAGTTCGGTAGATCACGACCGAGCTGCAGATCTGCGGCTCCCTGCTGAGCGGCTCATCTGTGTGAAATATGTTCGACGTCCTCACATGATGTACACGGAGGAGGAGGAAGGAAGTGGAGGACTGCAGGAGGATAAGGGCCTCTGTAAGGCCTCCGAGAAGACGACAGAAGGAGGACGCTGCTACTTCAGAGCGCTAAAGAAAGGTTAAAGCGCTGATACGATGAAGATAAAGCAGTTATCGTCACTTTGCATCCCAACCAATCAGGAAATTAAGGGAGAGAGGAGGAGTGACACCCACCTGGACCAGGTACCGACCGTATGACCAGTCAGAACCACATGCTCGGGTTAGCCTGGCGGTTTAAGTCGACGGGGGACGAAATGTTCGAAATGTCTGCTGCAGGTCAAACCAATCACAGGGACTGCAGTCTGCATCATTTCAACTGTGCAAACCTGTAACAGAAGCATAGACCAGCTCTCCGTGTGTCTCTGCTCCGCCCTCCGTCACAGCCCGCTCTCCACACATTCAGATCAGCTTTTATTTCAGTCAAAACACGAGAACAGGAAGTTTTCTCTGCAGCATTTTCAGCCGTAAAGGAACACTTGGACTAAACAGACCGAGCAGTTCATGAAGAAATAACTCAGAGAACATTAGAGTCCAGGATCAGAGGGGATCCAGCACTGATATCTCCTCCTCACTGAGCTGGCGGCGTCCCACCTTGCCTTCTCGGCGCTCTGTAATTGTCTTTCATTTACTTTGAGCGAGGCTAGCTGAAAAGATGGGCCGTTTCAATGAACAGATTAAGGCCTGCGAGCACAAACAAATGACAAATCCCTCTTAACCCCGTGAGCCTCTCGCTCCACGCCCCCCCTGCAAACACACCTCACCCCGTCAAACATTTGGCTCTGGCATCGCTATTAAACACAACTTTGTAGATTTACTTCCTTCAAAAGTGCCATTTAACCAGGCGGCGGGCAGGAAGGAAGCAGCGCTGCGAGGGGAATTACAGGTTGCCAGCGTTTCGTCTCAGCGGAGGAGTGACAGGGCCGTCATTTTGCCGGCGGGGCCACCTCCCGTGTTGTTGTGACAACCGGTCATTACGCATTGCCGAGATGCTCTCAGCTGCAGGTTTCAGCACAGATGCAAATGGACGCAAATGGGCTCCGACCGCGACCAAGCTAATAACGTCCTTTTCAACAGCTCTGATTCCTTTTTTTGTTTTTACTCTCCTCTCTGCTCCCCTCCTCCTCCTTCTTCTTCTTCTCCTGTTTTTTTCTCTCTACTCTTCCCCTTAAGGTGGACAGTCAAGAGTTTAAAGGACATGTTTGGGTTTTGGATGCACTCCCAGGAGCTTTATTTGAGGTTATTTCAGACTGACAGACTGGAAATAAAAACAGAAAGTGATGCAGTGAACTTCTGCATCAGTTTAAATGAAGTAGTCCGTCTGTAAAATCATCTAAACGCTGAATAATATCACCGCTCGATGACTGATAATTATAAATTTGACACCTTCACTGCAAAGGATAAAAAGAAAACATGAGGAGGAGATGAAAACAAGTGAGGAGTGCACAAATTTACCAAATCTAAAGCTAAAATTTGCAGCTTCTGTATAATAATCACATATAAAGTCATACTCTACAGCTGTGCTTTCTTCATTCATGCATTATTTGCAATAATTTTGCAGCAACAACACATTCAGTCAGAAAAGGTGCAAGATCTGGTTTTATAGCAGAGCTCTGCAAACAAATGCTCCAGAGATAACGTGTGCTGCAGAGAGTCCACAGAATTCTGCAGATAGAGTCACGGCAGGTTAAATATGTAAAGTAAAAAAAAACAGAGTCTGACTATTTTTGGAGCAGACACACAAAAAAAACTCAAACTGAAGAGGGATCTGTCAGAAACATGGAGCTAATCTAAAATGAATCTTCTGTTTGAGGATTTAGAGTAAAGATGCAAAAATCTAACGTAGGTATCCTCATGTCTGTATCATTAAACTCCACCTTAAAATTCTGACATCCTGTAATTTGAGTTTTTGTTTCGCCCTCGTCTTTCCTCAAAATAAAAAGATTTCACCAAATGGAAACCGGCTTTGTGCTGCAAATTAGCGAGAGAGGATTGTGGTATTGTTTTTGGTAATGCTCACTCTCATTCTCGGGGTCAGATTTGATTCGAGTCTCAGTCCATTAGCAGAAGTGTTTTGGATAAACAGAAGCAGCAGGGGACTGTCTCTCTTCTGCAGGTCTTTGGGGTTTAATAGGATAAAGAGTGACAGGTACACACAAACCAGCAGACACTCAGAGACGCTGGGCTGTGGTTCAGAGAGCTAAAGTGCAGACCCTGCACGGTCATGAGGAGCGGTCTGTGGAAGGTTGTGAGGTGAGGAGGTCGTGAACTGAACGTGCAAGATCCTGATTGGTGCGAGATTTACACACTATTTTCACACCTTTGGTTAAATTTACAAATTAATATTTTCAGCAGCATGCATTAATTAAAAATCTAAATTTTATCTGTAGTTAGGGAGAAAAACAGAATTTAAATGTTTAATATTATGATCTACACTAAAATCTTATCACCAAAGATAAACTGAAAATGTCTCTGCAGATGATGCTGCAGGATTTGCAGACAAAGCCGTTTAATCTGCACACGACTGAACTTTTACATCCTGTTAATCGCTCATGAAAAAGCTGAATAAGATGGGCCCTAATGTGGAGCCTTGTGGACCTCCGTACGAGCAGCTAAAACACACTGATTGTGCATTTGCAATTCAGTTCATTTTGTTTGGTTGTATTTGCTCAGTTTAAAATCAAAGATATCTAACAATCGAGTTCAGACACAGTTAAAAATTTAAATTCATAAAATCTAAGTTTAATGGCAAACCAAGCATGCAGCGTAAATTTATTTCCCCCAAAATCACATGACCTACAGTAGGAGCAAGAAAATGTGTTTAACTCTATCTTTTGACTTATTTATGTGCAAAACATTTAAATTTTTACATAACTTTGTCATGAACTCACAACTCTTGCAGTATAATTCACAATTTGCACAACTGTCTTGCACAGATTTGCATAAATTAGTTAAATTTTAGTTATTTTTGGGCACTTCTCTGTCTTATTCTGCTTTTAAAACTGACATATTTCTAAAAGTATGATGCACCAAAAGAAAAAACGGTCTCCTGTTTTTTATTTAAAGTGTAAATCCTTTTTTATGGTGCAGAAAAATGGTCTAAATTACATGCTTTTTCTATAAACTATATTTTTTCTTGCTTGTTTTGTGATGAAAACTAAAATAATAAAAGGTTTGAATTTCATTGTAAAATGATTCAAAATCAAAAATCTACACTTCATACGTCTACGCTTCAGTGAAACTTTACAGCCTGACCTTTGGTGTATTTTCTACTTTTGCATTAGTGATTTTAAATAATTAAATAAAACAAGAGAAATGTGTTTTTTAATGACTGAAACAGCTGAACTCCAGAGGAATAAAAGGGGCTTTAACACAGTCGTACCTGTAACTAACTTCTCTGCTCTTTAGTTAAATTCATAAATCACTGACTGGACTCTGAGGAACATCACACTACAAACAGTCTGGCACACAAACCATCACTCCCATTAATCCCAGTATTAGATGAATGGTGATCCAAAAAAAGAGGGGGGGTGTCTCCCCTCCAGGGTTTTATCCTAAGTCATCCCAACTCGAGAGGCGCTGATTACCAGTGTGAATTATGTTTTTTATGCTTTGAAACACGCAGAGAGAAAAATCCTCCCTCGTTCAGAGAGTGTCTCCAAACACGGATAATGCTATTTCAGAAAAAGTCTCATTGGTGTTGCAGAAGTCCGAGCTTTATCTCCAACATAACAAGAGCAGCGTTCACAAACTGCAGCTTCAATTGGATAATTGGATCACTCGCTGCAAGATTAATTATGGACTCGTGTTATTACACTTTATACTTGACGTGGGCCGCCGCCACCGCCGCCGCACAGACCGTCACCAACGGAGGACTAGGAGCCAAGTCTGGTTCCCCAAGTGTCTTTAAAATGTCCATCCTTATAGAGAAAGTTGGATGCAGCTAAAAAAGACGTTTTGGAGGAAGTTTGTCAGAAAACTCGGTAGAAGAAACTTTGAAGGATTAAAATTCTTTGAGTTGCAACATTAAAATTAACAATTTAAAGTTTTAAAAGGAAGAATGAGAAAAAAAAAACAGAGCAGGATATTATATAAATCTAACTCCAATTCAAAGAGAGAAAAAATTCAATTGTAAGAAAAAATAATTGAATGTTTTGTCTCTGTCTAAATCTCCTGAAAAACTTTTTTTTCTCATCGCTGTCTTGAAAATTCTCCAAACTCATCGCCCTGAATCCACACTTGGAGCCAAAGCGATTCTCCTGAGAGACTCTGAATAAATACAAAAGTCCCAAGACCAGGTTAGAAGAAGAAATAATGACATAGGAGTCGGGTTTCCACAAATGAGGGAAAAAATAACATCAAAATTCTTGAGTAAAGTTGCTGCAACATGCATCACAAAAAGCATCAGCGTTCATTTGCATATTTCAGATTATTGATGACAAATTAAAGTATCTGCAGACTCATCCTGCTGTTTTTAAAGGTTTTAAAGTCATTGATGCTCCTGTACGCTCTAATGTAATAAAAGCATACAGTCCTGTGTAATTTCTATACTACAGATTTAAGTGTTCAGTGATTAGTTTGTGTTTTTACAGGAATCCGTGTCTGTGAGGTTAAAGTGGTCGCTGCAGACTAAAGCACAACAGACTCTATTAGACCGACGTCCTTGAGAAGATGAATCCACGTTACTGTAAAACCAAAGAGAGAGAAAATAGGATTTAGGATGTCTGGGCCAGAATTTATACTTCCTTGTTCTGCGATAAAGTGCTCTATAATCTGGAAATAGAGTTTTTTCTTAATATTACGTTTGAAGGCAGAGGATGGAGGAGCGGGGAGGGGGGAGAAAAAGCAGAGCTCAAAGCAGGCCTCATAATCTAATAAATTGATTTGCAATATCCTCTGAAACTGTGAACTGATAAATGGAGCTTCTCATGTCGCCCCGCCTCGTCCCCGGCTCTGCTTGATGTGCTGCGGCTCGTTGAAAAGACAAAAGGACGGCCTCGCTAGTTTGAAAACTATTCCAGTCCACGCTCATCTGGGCCTCGCCAGTGGTCACCCAAGGATTAGGAGCTGGTGTTTTCCAAAGCTGGTTTCCCCTTCCTCCCCTCTCTCGTTTTTTTCTACCACTTCTATTCTTCGACCAAAAAAAGCTCACATCCACCCGAGACACGGCATTAAACATGAAAACAGATTATCCTTGGATATGAACTCCCATGTTCTTGGGATTGCCGGACAGCTGTAGCCAAGATGAACAATAAGCGGTTGACTCGGGGTCTGTAGCCGGTATCATCTGCGCGGGCAGATTGCGGCGGAACAGAAAAATAAGATCCGGCGACTTCAGAGGGCCGTAACATGTAGAAAACAGAAATAATCTGAGGCCCCTGAGGAGACAGGGACTCCTTTTTGACTGCTGTGTTTCCGGCAGAGAAAGATTTACCACCCATGATTCCACTGGGCGGGTGTGGAGGATGCCACCCTACTCTACCCCCCTCGCCAAAACACAAAAGACGAAGGGAAAAGAACAAATCTGCGCCCAAATCCTCTCAAGTCCTCCGAGTGTGGCATGAAACGTCTCTTTGGAGGACTTGAATGGATCTCCCGGAGGTTTTCTCTCTTCTTCTGATGGCTTATTTATTGTTCCCCGTCAACCACGTGTCTTATCAAACATTTGTTCGCTCGCAAGGTGTACCTGAGACTCCTGCAGGCCTGAGAGGGATTACCCCCAAATCTGGACCGGCGTCAAAAACCGGCGAGAAGAAGCGGCTAAGATGGAGGAGAAAGACGGGTTTGGCACTGGGGCTTGGACCACACAGATCACCGGGGACACTCGCATGAAAACATCCTCCTCTCTGTGTATTTAATAAATGCCACTTGACATTGGGAGAGGCTTTAGCGGTTTGGAGGAACGAGGACTCGCTCTGGATTTGGACAGTTGGCGGGGCCTATCTCCACGCTGGCAGGAAGCATCAGGGATTTCATGGCTGTTTGCCCGCCCTGGTGCTTTGCCTCTGCATCACGCCCCGTTTGGGCAGACACAGTTTTTCTTCTGCAGGCTGAGTCGCCTCCGCCGTCTAGTTCAGAAAGACATTTACATACTTCCCTGGCTGTAAACGTGTGACCTCTGCACAAACTAAACTTTCAGGACACTTCGGCTGATGCTCTCCATCATAGAAACCATGGCGGTGCTTCATCAGCCTTAGATCCATCCGCTGGTTGGTGCTTTTGGTCCTGAGATCTAGTGGTGACTTTGCAGAAGATGTAATGTGTAATACACTCGCGCACACACAGCCCTGAGATCATCTGGCTGACTTCTGCCTCCTCACAACACATGGGAAACATGCGCTTCACTGTGTCTGCTGTGCATCCTCGCACTTTTCTTAAATGTACACAGCAGGAAGCGCTTCCTTAAAATGACCCGTCGCTCTTAATTGCATGCATACCTTACCCTCCGTGCACATTATTGTGGTTGGAGTTTAATCGCCTTTTTGCAACAATAAACAGGAAAACTCTGTCAGCTGACTGTGTCCTCATTAACGGTTCGATCGGCTCTACATCAGGGTCGGACTTTCTGCACAAACCAGAGCTTGTGTCTGTTCGGGGAGAAACGGTGAGGCTGAACTTGCAGAGTTGCGTCAAGCATCTTCAGAATCACTCACATTCCTCTCTTATCCAGCAGCAGAGATGGTGTGTGTGTGTGTGTGTGTACATGTGTGTACATATGTGAATGTGCATCCTTTCCAGACGGCTGTGTGAGCATGATGGGAGCTGAATCAGGGTGGGGGTGGGGGGTTAAGAGGTACGTTAATGTGCTTCAGGGTCCTAACATCTGCACAGCCTGGGAGCAGCCAGCCTGCTCGACCAGCCGGCAGCTGTGGCCGCCTCTGCACGGCCTTTGGGCACTTGTGCATGTGTGTGTGTGTGTTTTTTTTCTCTCCCTCCTCTTGTTGTTCTTGTAGCTCCGTGTTTCATCTTCTAACTTTGAATATTCCTGAGTGTGTGTGTTTGTCAGGGAGAAGAATAAATAACCGGGGCTCTGCTACGGCTGTGTGATTACGCCTCAGCTCGCCGCAGACTGGACGGAAAATCCAAAATAGTCACAAACCTGCGTTCTCACACAAAGTGCAGCTGGGGTGTGTCAAAGCCCGCAGCACCACTAATGTCATGTTTGACTGCCAAACAATACTGAGCCTCCACACACACACAACAGTACACACAGGGAATATTGGGTCTCATCTCTCCGAGGAACCATGAGCTACCTTTTCACACACAATAACCAAACACAAACCTCTCCTTTCTCTCCCTGCAGTGGAAATTTAAAGTCTGTAATTACACCTCGAAAAACCTCAAAACACAAACTACACTCCTGCTCACACACTGTGGACATCGATTCACGCCCGTCAGAGATAGGGACTGTCATGATGGATGTGTGTACGCTTTCCAGGCCGCTGGTCATCATCATTTTGGCGCAGAGGAACCCCCATTTCCTGCTACACGCTGACCCCTTCCTGCCCCCATCAGGGTCCAGGCACTCAGTCACATGTAGGGAGGGGAGAGAGGCCGGATCAGGGCTCACACAGCAGATTAATGTGGGTAAACACTCCAGGAGTTGTTACTTTTCCTGAGGTTACTCCAGTAAATAAGAACCGGTCACAATATTAAGAATAATAATAATAAGAAGACATTTTTGGGGGCAGCAGCAGAGATAAAGTGCTGAGAAAAGCTGGTTAATAATAAGCCAGACATGAAATTAAAAACGAGGCTGCAGAGGAAAACGCACGGAGCTCAGAGACGGTAAAAACAGTCAGGATGTCTCTGTGTTGACTTGACAGACGGGGGGACATTTAAGGAGACAAAAACCGGGTGTTATGAAGAGAGAGGACTCAAAATTTTAACCATTTAAGGTGCAGTACCTCCTCCTGACTGTTAGGGGGTGCATGTGCAAAGTATTAGCACCAATTCTTATTATCTTCTACAACTCTCTCTCATTCAGCTTCCTTTTTGCATCCTTTTAAGACTTTTATAGTCTGCGCAGACCGCCCAGACTGGACTGAAATGAGACTCTGGTCTACAGAGGATATACCGTTAATGCCAACAGCCATCCTCGTCACTGTTCACCCCGAGTTGAAACTAAAAACCTCTTAACGTGCCGCTGTGACGCTACGGTGGCCCTGAAGGTTAACTGCAAAAGAGCTTATCACAAAACACACGTAGAAATGTTTCATCGAGCAAAAATATAAGTGCAAAATCTGTTTTGTTGTCATACTTTGGTGTTTTTTTGCTTCTCCTGAAATATTTTTGTTTTTTATTTGACTTGGAGAAATATTTTTATAGAGTTTATTTCTGTTTCTGTCCAGATGACCTGAACTCACTAAAATTTACATTCAGATACTTTAATGTCACATGAACACGCCGCTCTCTCTGGATTTAGCTTCGTTATTTAAGGTCTATATTTACGAGGCGGCCCGCTCTGTTGTTCCTCGGCGTCGCTGCAGCGCTCGGTCATGTTGCCCTCTCTATATTTAAAGAAGATGTCTTTGGCGAGGTTTACTCGTTTCCGGGTTTTGAAGGTAAACATCACTAATGTGATTTAATGACTCGAGCATGAAAGGGTTAATAAGTGTTTAAAGGTTGAAACTCGGAGTTAATTTTTCTAAATATTTCTGTTGGATCGGCTCTCCCCATCATTTCAGCTGGCTGTTATTTCCCCCCTGAGATCCCAGAACCTCCACTCGGGTGTAGCATTTATCACTAATACCTCTGTTATTACTGCTGCAGTGTGAACACGATGTGGCTCTGCTCGTATTTGTCTGGTTTCGAGGGCAGACAAGAAAAATACCAGGAGAGAAAAATTATGATATTCATTTCAATTAGGACAATTCTTACTCAGTGTAATCTATCATAGTCAGCGCTGGTTTCCTCTGTAAGATGAAACATGAGCTCTTAAAGTGATGTTGTATAATCTAAGGTGCCCTCTGCATGAACTCTGCATGAAGACGGGATGAAAATAGACGTGAAAAGAGGTTTTGAAGAAGGAAAAAAGCTAATTTAGTGGGTTTTATAATCTGTTAAAGAAGTTGTGGATCCCTAAACGGCTCCAAAAGAGTATATTTTGGATAAACTCTTCTATTTTTTGCAGGGAGCTACACTCTCCCATCCTCCTGTCTCTCTTTTTCCTCAGTACGAGACGTGTAATTTGTGTACATGGCCTCTGGTGTTGTTTTAGGCCGCGCTCCAAAGCCACTCTAAAAAGGTATGTGGCTTTGGCGAGGAGAATAAACAGCCACCTCATTTCATTCTCCCACGTCTCTCTCTCGGACGCTCTCGACCTCGCAGTTCCAAAGAAAAGCACACATAAAACACCGCACTTTGGGGAAATCGGGCGCAGGAGAGGGGAGAGAGACGGGCTAAAAAAGGTTACAGCGAGAAACCGGAGTCGCCAGCGCTGAAAAAACGCAGCAGAGACATTTGTTTCTCAACATGTCTCACGTGTAAAACATTTATTTTGCTTTCAAGTGATGCTGTAACAGAAGAGCTTCACATTCCCACGAGATCCTGCAGATTCACCCTGTTTGCCCGAATTATTTTCCCAAGTCAAGTACGGACTCCAATCACAACTTTGAGAGCAACCCAAACATTAAAATATACGACCTCCGTCCAAAATAAACTCTTCTCGTTGGCTGCTTTGAGTGCAAAGATACACAGATCAGCTGTTTTTGGTAAACACCACCAAACAGCGTCTCTGGTGTTTTAACTTCACATTTTTTAAAGACCTCTTACAGCTGCTGCAAACATGCAAAGCTGCTGAGCGTAGCTTTAAATCGCTGAACTCGAATTGTAAAATGAAAACACTGAACATGAAAAAGTCGGCGCTGTTTTACAGAAGCTGGAGGGGGGTCTCGCTTTTTCCTCAAACCAGCAGGAGTCGAAGGCTTTCCAGGAAGTTATGCAGGAAGTCCTTATTATTCCACTTGTCATTTATAAAGTGAATGTTGAATTTATGGAGCAGTTGCAGAATCAAAGACTGAATGCACAGAAAAGTGTCTGCAGAGGACACAGTTGGACCAGAATAAGAGTGACGAGAGCAAACCTGCAGAATTAAATGATAAAAACAGACAACAATCCAAAAACTCACAAATCAGACATCTGGAAGCTGCAGGAGCGACCTTTTTTTGACTAAGAACAGGACAGATATTCTCCAACTTTGAAGATTTACTGTGATTTTATTCTGATTTCACTGTTATTGGACTAAATTTGTAAATATAATTCTGCATCTAAAACAATCAGAACGACTGAAAAAGGTTTTATTTCTGCCATGACACCAAATGAAATATTGCAGGCCGTAATCAATCTAATAAATGTGCAGAATTTCTCTGAAGTATATCACCTGAAGACCATGTTAAATGTAAACATAAAAATTCGGAATATTTTTTATGTTGATTTTCAGAGAATTTGGAGGAAAGTTGAATCAAAATCTGCAGATCTTTTCTTCTCTTCTACATTTTTCTATTAACCTGGTTGATGCAGACATTTGTGCACCGATGAATCTGGTCCTGCTCAGTGTTTCTTTCCGTTAAAGGAGAGGTTTAACTCCCTGCTCGTTCGTGGTGGTTTCATGAAGAATAGATATTTGTTTAATAGATCCTCGATGATGCTCCTACAGTCAAGCGAACGTTGGACAGGATTTTGCAGCTGAAATGATCCCACTCATTTCTCAACACGCTGAAAAGGCAGTTGGGCTCTGCGCCCTCACCCCGAGTCATTTTTCTCCTGAAGGTGATGCACCTCGACAGCGGTAAACGACCTCTTCGGGAGACTCTGTCTTTGTTTGGACAGCGCGGCGGAGACAAATGGCCGTGAACGTGCGTCTGAGTGAGAGCAGACTTCATTGAAACTGCAGCTCTACCTCTGAGTGAAGGCCCGACAAATCAGCGCTGACAGGTCCACCTCTACCTGGCCCCGTCAACGTCCGCCGTGTCTCAGACCTGACGGAAAACGGCCCGCGGCGCCGCGGTGAGGTCTGAGATTTCACAGCGAAAATGCCAAACACGATCGGGGGATAACACACAAACTCTCTTTCCTGTCAGGGGAGAGATGTAGAGGGTGAAAGGGGAGGTTGTCTGTGTCTCACCTGGTTAAGAGATGCTTAGGACAGCTGGCAGGCTCGCTGGAGAGACGACTGTGAGGTGCGGAGGAGGTGATGTGGCCTCCAGGATGGTGCTGACCTCCGCGGAGGGAGATGATCCTGACGAGGACGGGCTTTTTTTTACCTCCAACGACAGCTGATCGAGCAGAAACGAGCTCAAGACCTGGAAAACAAGAGACACAAAGACGTCAGAGGGAGTAATTCAACAGCTCAAAATCATCTTTATATTTCTATATTCATACATTTTTAAAAAGACGTCTGCATTGTGCTCTCATAAATAATGAGAATATTCTCCCTGAAACACAAAGACATTCAGCTAAAAACCTCTGCATAGATTTTTGATTTTTGTTTGTTTTTTTGTTTAAGTGTTCCAGCGCTGAAAATACATCAAACTTTCATCTTTACAATGGTTATTTTTGTGTTAACAAGGTTCATATTTTTGATATTTTTGTCTTATAAAATTCAAAAGAGATTCAGTTTTTAATCTCATGCAGAAAATAATAGAAACTAAATAGTTTAGAGCTCTTATCTGCAGATTATTAACAAATAAACCTGTTTTCACATTATCTTTAGAGTTTTCCTCAATTATATGTAAATAATGAATTAACAGCCACAACAGCTGCCAATGCAGCGAGTGTTAAAATAACCTGCAGCCATTAAAATAACAGACACATCTAAACTGTCTAAATGTCATCATTTTCACAATTAAATAACAAAACCTCCTTTCTTCAGATAAATATGATGTTTCACCTTGGAACATTTTTGGTAAATTCTTCATTTATTCCCAAAATCTGATCGAGTTCAATCGCAGCACAAAAAATAATTCATTTTTTTAAATGAGAAGGGAATTTAGGGGTTAAAATGACTTATAAATATCTAAATATGTAAAATTCAGGATGATTTCATCTTTATCAGAGCTGCAGAGAACAAAAAACATGCTTTTCTTTTGTTTTCTCCTGTTTTCCTCTTTTTCTAAAGAAACCTGAATAAATCAAAGTAAAAACTGGTTTCTAAAGAGAGTTTTGCTGCCAGAAAAGATGATAACACACCTATAAATTTCTCACTCAGCCTTACGAAAGCCTCCTGCTCCTCTCTGCCGAGGAGCGCTCTCCCTGCTCCCTGATGTATCGTTGACTATACATCATGTGACAGTGAGTCTATTTGTGTCACAGCAGGTTGGGGAAAATGTCAGAAACCAACATGTCTTCAGCTCCTCCACACATCTGCTAAACAAGAGGCAGGAAGCTTTTTTCTGCTCTCTCTCTCTGCAGAGCTGATGACTGGAATCATGCAAACAGATTTTACTGAAGAGAGACGTTTTATCACGAGACGTTGAAGCTTCAAGTTTGTGTTTTCAGCAGGAGGTTAACAATTAATGTCCAAACTGCTTTAAAAATGAGGAAAATTAAATATCTTACAGGGAGCAAATCAACACAGGACTGGGAGAACTTGGTCATCCTTAACTGTAACATTTCAATGCATGACATCAGGAATTAAGGTTCCCAGCAGCTCAGCCTGCAGCCCCTATTTCATAAAATACAGAAGTTTCCTTTAAATTTGCCCAATACAGGGTTATTAAGAGTTTTGATAATAACTGAGGCTGTATTTATAAGAGAAGAAATCCTCATTAAGTCTAAAGGAAACCTATCCTCACACCCATGATGGCAGCTCAGCTCACAGCCCATCCTGACATCCCTTTTTTTTTTTTTTTCCCAAACCATTTTATTATTTTTTAGATGGTTTTTGTTTTGGGGGGATGAAACACCGACAGTTTTGTAACTCTTTAAATCTAAAGGACGCTTCAGTAAGCATCTGTCATGGCAGCTCAGCTCACAGCCCATCCTCACGTCCAGATTTTTTTAAAATTTGAAACAGCTTTATTAAATATTCTACCTGAGTTTAGACATCACTTTTGTTTTTTTGGGGGGAGGAAACAACGACAGTTTTGTAACTCTTTGAATCTTAAGGACACTTCAGTTAGCATCTGTCATGGCAGCTCAGCTCACAGCCCATCTTCACGTCCTGATTTTTAGACTTCATTAAGTGTTGATTTTCCTGAGTCGAGGACACATTTGCAGCTTTAAGATAAAATCTCTGATCATGAAAATTGAAGAAATATTAACCTAACGCCTGAGCTTACATTTTTTGGTGGCAGCTCAGCTTGTAGCCTCTCTAAATGTCATGTCAACCACAGTTCATGTTTCTAAAGGTTTAACCTTTTACTGTCGCAGCAAAGTCTAATAAATTTGTACAAATACGTCTCAGTCAGAGAATTAGACCTCCATCTTTAGAGGCTGTTTCCTCTCCTGAAACTGTCAATCACGCCAAACTCAAGCTCGCCACACAGCGCTGCTCCAATAGCAGAAACCAAACTCAAACGCACTTTCTCCTGTTACGTTCTGCGCGCAGCCTCAGCGGGGAGGAAACCAGGTGTGCAGCAGCCTAACATGGAGATGCAAACAGCATATGGAAGTAGACAGAAACACTAAAAGCCTTTTATAAACCCCTAACAGATTCAACTCATTGTTCTCCAGATGCCAGTTAACGGAGCCAATTGAGATTTTAAGCATTTCTGAACAACGCGAGGTATTTAACACCGGCTTTACACACACACACACACACACACACACACACTCACACACACACACACACACACACAGCACTTCACTTATTGTTTTTCCTTTGATGGAATTTTCTTCAAAGCTCGACTCTTAACGTTGGCGGATCATCCGGCTCGGCCCCCTCGTTTTCAGATCCCTCATTTTTCCTGCTCATTTGCGTGCCGAGGTGCTTTACCTTTAGGAAAAGAAATATCAGGGTTTATTAGCGGCGGGGAAGAAGAAAAAACAGGAGGATCTCTTCGACTTCAACACGGAGGATTCCTCTCCCCGGGAGACTAAACAGAACAAGAAATAACATGAGCCCTATGTATTAATGTATGCCTTTTGATGTCTGGCTGCACAGTCCTGTAGCACCATTAAGAATTTAACTGAAACATCACATTTGTCAAAACTAAATTGTGCATCTAAGAGTGGAGGTTGAGAGAAGACGTACGTGAGCTTTCTCCGCAGAGTTGGAGGAGAGCGAAAAAGGCCCAATTAGGATTGTTTTTTGAACTGGAGCAGAAAAACTGAAGAGTGTGTGTGTTGACATATGTGTGGAGAGAGAGAGAGACCGAGAGAGAGAGAGAGAGAGGGGGTCTGCTGCACACGCTCACATCACATATTAGCTTAGCTCCCTCTAGTGTATAATTAGAGCACTGGTGCATTTTCAAAACTCCACCAGAACTAGAGAAATGTCTGTAAATGCACCGTTTCCATGCTGTGGGAGATGTTATATTTTTCATTAAAGAAAAATACACATGTTGCAGAGGTCGGGCGTGATTCAGAGGGCAATTTTAAGAGATTCATGAGCTGCTTTTTAAAGTAAAGTAGAGTTTAATATCAAACTGAGTAAACGGGCAGATTTTCTTTGTTGGTTTTTACTCTTAAAATACTTCGTGCTTTTATTTAATGCCTGAGAAACAGCAGAAAAATGTGTGTGAGTACTTTTTTGGGATATGCATTTTTCTAAATCTTTAATCAGAGATATAAAGGATTTTACTTTCTTGCTGGAGAATAAAATGAACACCTGATATCGGCATGAAAAATATTGGATTTTGCAGGTAAAGACATTGATTTTAATCCACATGTATTAATTTCACAAAAATGTTTGAGCAGAAATGTTCAGCTGCAGTTACAGGTAAAAACAAGACGGTTTTAGACCTGGCTAATTTAAAGCTCGACTTACAGAGTTAATTAAAAGATTCACATTTAAGGACTTCGGGTTCACAGTTAGATCAAATTTCACAAAACTGCTGCTTTACACACTGAAAACAACAACAAACAACCTCTAATGGACTACAGCCTACAAATACATACCAGGATATTAGAGATTTTAAGAAAAAGAGACAAAATGCATCTGAATGTTTTCTGCAAATGTGTTAAATGTGCAGCAACTGAGCTGAAAAGAGATAGAGATGCATCTGAAACAAAAGGTAAGCTACAAGGCCTGATTCCTGCACAAGTGGAAAACACTAAAAATGTGAATTAATTGGGGGGAGAGGGAGAGCACTGTTAAAACACAATCTGGGAATTATAAATATCTTTGTTCACCTAAAGCACCAAAAAAAACGTCATAATCTCTGTGGCAGTGCCCTCAGACCTGCCGGTAAACACTGAGCAAACACATTCAGCCCTCTGCAAACAAAACGTCATCATTAACCATCAGCTCACAGGCAAAGTAGCTCTTGAATGGGGAACACAGGCCGCGTTCGGTGGGTAATATGTGGCAATTAATCACTTGATTAATATGCCCTTAAACACACAAAGTGACAGTGACAAATTCTGTTCGCACGTTTGCGATCCCGAAAACGATAATTGTCCAATGAGAGTCTCATTTGTCAAAGAGAGGGAGGGAGGCAGAGCTTCCCGTTCAGTCTGTGATCTCACACTCGTTTTTATTTGTTAAGCTGTGTTAATAAATTTAAAGCAGATTCAAAGATACTCTTTAAAGAAAAGGCCTGTTTAAACTTTTGAATCATTATTTCAGAAACCTTAGAGATGATTCATAAAGGCTTTGTTTATCCTGACAGAGAGGTCTCACATTTTCATATTTTTCCTGCTTAAAAAAGAATCCACATTTTTTTGCACAAATCTTAAAGCACGTTACTCAAATGTTCACAATCTGACGCAGAAAAAAATAAATAAGAAAACTGGGTTTTTTTTTTAACGTTACGAGCTCATTAATATCCAAGTATTTTGTTTTTGCATCATGTTTTTTTACAGCCAATAATACAGCACGACATCACGGCAGCATAATGACGATGTGTATCCGGCATTGGCTCTGCAGATGAAGAAGAAAACGATGGGAGATAGAAGAATGAGAGCTGCACATTTCTACGCAGCTGTTCATGTTTTAATTCAGTTTTTTCGTTTATTTCATGAGATCTGCAGAAGAGGGTAACACTAAAGGAGCACAATCACTTGTCTCCAGTTGCCTCCCTACCTAAGATTCCCTTTAGAGATGACGGTTTCAGATGAAGCAGATGAGATCTGAAGTTGTTCTGATTCATGACAGGAGCTGTGGTCCACGCAAATAAGGTTCCTCGAAGTCAGAAATCCCCAGAACTCAACTTTTACAACCTGATTTTTTCCAGAAATGTGCAGCTTTAAATCCATCTCTAAAAAATGCTGTGAAAGGCGACCCCTGTCTCTTCTCTCCTCCACACTGTCAACAGAAAGACAGTCAAATATTCAGATGTGCAGCCCCTTTAATTTGAGGATTTTCTGCCCTTTTCTGGTCTGTACTAATGCAGCTCAGGTATTTGGGATGATCATGATGCATTTCTTTGGATTTCTTTGGAAATCAAAACTGAAAGGTTAAATACAATCATTTTGATGCACCTAAATAAATATTATGTGCATTATAAAACCTCTTGCATAAACTCGATTTTTCTGCTGAATTCCTGCACAAACCCCAGTCAGAATCTGCACAACAGACGAGCCTGTCGCTGGTGTGAAGTGCAGCCGTCACCCAGCATATGACAGCATACTGCCACTGTGCCGCTCACAGCCTTCAGTGTGATGTGTGCAGATGAAGGGCTGCGGCTGAGGGCTCGGCCAGGCGGCGCGGCCGACCCGGAGAGGAGCGCTGGGAGCTGGGGGTTGCAGCAGCAGAGCTCCCCTGGTACCTCCCTAATGAGCTCCACTACTGCCTCCAACATGAGCCCTTGCTCCTCCACAACATCACACACACACACACACACACACACACACACACACGAGGAGAGAGAGAGAGAGAGAGACTCTGCACAGCTGCAGCACCGAGCAAGAGCGTTACACACTCAGAGAGGAGCACTGTGCATGTTTAAACATACAGACACTAACAAGTACACACACTGTCATATGTACATGGATGCAAAAATAGTCACTCCACTCTCACACACACGCAGCTGTTACACTCCAACAAGAGGGGGGGAGTTTACTAGAGCAAGGGGGTGAAGGATTCAATATGCGTGCATAAACACCCTTAAATGTGCTACACACAAACACACAAACACACAAACACACAGTCTTTGCTGCAGCTGGATCATGGTATGTTTGCAGGAATCAGGTGATACTTATCACAAACAGAGGTTCGACATGCTGCTATCTATTCTGATATTCACCTGTGCAGGTGGAGCAGCTTTTGGGCCTGTTCACACCCATGACACTCTCTGCTACAGAGAAGAGGATATATAAGATAAATCTTCATACATTTTAACTATTTATCGAAGGTGCATGTATCAGACAAAATCCAGTGTGAGAGGACCATGTCTGACTGAAAAAACTGAGGATAACGCTTCATCTAAACTAACTACGACGACATAAACCCGTGCATGTGCTGAAACGAGAGGTCTGAGTAAAGTGAGCGCTGATACTATAAAAAAAGGGTGCGATGCTGAGCACATATCAACATTTTCTGCAGCTTGGACTGGAACTTAAAGTAGGAGTGTACACATTAATATGAAAAACAAACAGTAAACACTCTTTCTGCAAAACAAGGGGGATTTATACGGCTTTATTTGAAGTGTGACTAGCAGCTAAAGATGCTGCAGCTGTAATCGTGAGCGTGGTTTGATAAAAATGTTTAAAAGTGAGGGCGTCTCCAAGTTTTCACTCAGGCCTTCTTTGGTTTCTTTCCAAACTTGGGTGGTATGACCTAAATCTGAGCGGGAGTGAGATAAAAACTGGAATCAATTATAAGAAGCAGATAAGACTCAGGCCTAAATCTCACCCCACTCACCCCTATCTCCTGTCTGTGTCTCACCCCACACAGGGCATCTCCAGCCATCTCCACGGCCTCCTTATCCACCACGACGGTGAATAAGACTTCCAACAATTACCAACACTTACTCAGAGAGGCCTGATAATGTCTTCTCCGAGAGGCAAACAAATTGAATTCGTTTTTATTCCAGTCAAAGAAATCAACTTCCAGTAATTACCCCACATGGAACAGAAAAACACAATGAGAGAGAGAGAGAGAGAGGGAGAGAAATTTGCAAAGTATATAATTTTTTGCCGGCCATTTCAACTAATGATATTGTAATAAGATGCCTTGCAATGGAGAGGGAATGGAAAACGTAATTACATGCATTAGTTTATCTAAGCGCTTGTACCGTCGCAGATCCATCAGTTTTTCAGAGCTCATCTGGAAGCCCATGCATCACTGTCACGAGCCGTTTGATGGGGGGAAAACGTGTTCATTTGTTAGCCTCGTTTAAAAGATGGCGCCTCAGATTCACTTAGGCCCAGACGGAGCAGAGCGGTTATGACAGCGCCATTACAAAAAAACACTCACAAAAAAAGAGAAGAGGGGCTGCGGCGGAGCACTCGGCGCCTTGGCAACTTCATCAGCTTTTTGCATTAAGGTGATTACAGTCGCTGAGAAGAGCCCGTGCGCTGGTGTGTATGTTAATGAGGAGATGATGATACGGTTAGAGGCGCTCCACCTGCACCTGCACCAGTGAGTGTCAGCGAGGCCTACCTGCTCTTTATTTACCTGAAAATGCCGCTCTTCATTTTCGTCTGACTGTTACTTATCTGCAGTATTTTAACCCTCCTTTATTTTTGGCCTGTTCTGATATTCTAGAAAACTACAGCTATATTTTACAACGCTTTATCCTCGCATGTATGAACGTTATGAAGCAAAAACATTTAGAGCTCCCCCTGCTGGGTGGCTGCAGTATAATCAGGGTTTCAAATTGCTCTATAAATGAAGTCTGTGTGATTTGGATCAAGTTTGACGTGTTTCACCTTTCAGCTGCACCTGTCATTCTTGGTGAACTTTAAAGGGACATTTCAGGGTTTTTAAAGAGAGGTCATACTCGTCACGATAGATGCAGGTGTAGTGAAATATCCCTTTAAATGCCACAGTGTCAACAGGCAGAGTTCAGAATCAAGTTTTTGACACCACCAGATGTTGATGAAAAAAAAAAACACACCAACAAGCCGCCGTTACATTCCTCCGTCACCGTGTCTGAACTCTTAATGGACATTAAACACGAGCACAATCGAGTTAGCGAGCACTTACAGGGGAGCAGGCCCGGCCCATACATTTGTGTAAGAACACATAACTGTCACAAAATTACATGTCATTATTGACCATGTCTTCCTCCGGCTTAATGGGCTCTCTCTTAAAAATGTGGTCAGCCCGGTGTTTCAAGATGAAGACGAGGAGAGCGCTCGGGTGTCGTCTCAACCCCCCCACCCCACTCCATCCCTCCTTTGAGTGAAAGCAAGAATCTGCTTATTCAGTTACATTTCAGAACCTCAATTTCCGTTCACAATCAGCTCGTTAGGGCTGACGGCTTGAAAGGCAGCCATTAATGACACTCACTGCAGCACAAGTCCAAGAGAGGCCTGTTTCTGCTGCTGCCAGGACAGGAGGAGAATGTGGAGGCAGGAGAAGCTCTGAGGAAGAGAGAAGACGCCCCCTGCTGCCTCAAAGAGGGAAAGCACCACAGTGAACATGCATCTGTGAGTCCCTTTTTCTGACTTTAGCAAACTTAGAGATCGTTTCTTCCTCATCCGCCCTGTCAGAGAGATCCTGTCTGAGTTTGACTCTCTCCAGACTCACTGGATCCAGAATAAACGGTCTTTACTGGTCACAAACTCGTACAGGTGGGTGTTCAACTGGAAAAAAGGCACCACAAGGTCGTGGACTAAGAGACTTCAGGGTTCACTCAAAAAGACAAACATAAAAACCAACAGTCGACTCAGGATGAAGATGGGGTGTCTGTTTGACTCGACATCATTTCTGCAGCACAAAACTATGTTGTAATATTTCACAGACAGACCGGTTCTGACCTCTGACCTCTGTTTTGGGTCGTTTTGTCGTGATCTTGAAACCTGAGATTTGGTCAGATCCTTGTTAGACTCGGTGCAGAAACGCTTGTGTTTGTTTTATGATCCTGTCAGAGGTTTTATCAGCTGGTGATGCTTCCTAATTCAAATGAACACGTCTCTTCTTCCTTTTAAAAACCTGTTCATTAAGTTTTAAGACCATCATGGGACCGTAAAACAGACTAAGAAGCTCCTCTGATTAGTTTTATGAAAACTTTGGGGTTTTTTATATTTGCTGTCTGATCATTTATTGGACTATTTACCTGCTTCAGTATCTGTAAAGACCAAACTTGATGTCATTAAAGCTCACAGGTGATTTTAAACTCCCTCGCTGCCATAAAGAGACCGAATCTTTAAATTTGGATCAATCCAGCTGTCGAGATTTTTTTAATCCCCTCATCTGAGTCATTTCGCTCCACAGCAGGTGTATCATTTCATCCCCAAAGATGGCAGCTTTCTCCTCCTGAACTGGAATCTCTGAGTATTAATTTTTTGGCAGCTCCTCCTGCATGATTCATGAAAGGGCCGGTAGAAGGCTAATTGTTCAAATTAATTTGCGTAAACGACTAAGCGAGAGATAACAGAATTACATCTGCACTTCCCTGGCACGGGTTCAGCGGTGACGGGCCTCGACAGACAGCTGCATCCATATCCTGGCATCCTCAGCAGAAATTAAAAGCCACAAAACATTAATTAATAGACTTTTTGTTACGTTAATCTGCACCAAAAGGTTTAAGGAGAGCGGAGAGGGTGGGGGGTGCACGAGGTAGGCGGTGTGCATAATGAGAATAAATTAGTTTGGTTAAACATTTTGGAGAAAAGTGATTGTGGGTTAAATAAAGAGAAAAATAAAGGAGGGAGAGGCGCAACTTTCTGACAGGTTCATTAATCACAGAGTCGTTACAGTTTGAGGCTCGGATCGGGCCGTGGCGGTCTCTCCCGGTCGGTGAACAATCGCAGAGAGCAACAGCACTTCTGGGGGAGCGGCTGCAGAGCGGAGAGGTTGTAGCACCATCAATCTCACCTCCTCCTCCTCCCTGTTCTCCCCCAAATTGAAGGAGCAGCCCATACTTTGCACTTGTCAATTTGGAGCTTTATCTACATGCTAGAGGCTAATGAGCCATCTCAAACTCTTGATGGCCAGGATGTAAATGATCTTAACTAGCTCTCTGTCTGCTGTCACGAGTTAAAGGGGAGGAAGAGGAGGGAACACCGATATGACTCACTGTCTGTGGTTGGTTTAGGGTCAAAGGTCATTAAAACCAGCTCAAGTCCAAACACACACGCTCAGAAAAAACAGGTAAGTAGATCTACAGAAAAAGTCCTTTTACACTCATTAATCAGAAATGAAAAACACAAAACTATAGAGGATGATTTTTTTTTGTGGTCAAGTACAGGAAGTTCTGTCTTCTCTGTATTTATAGACCGCAGAGGTGTAAATTCAGGTGGATGTTGTGTGGGCAGCTCAAAGTAGAGAAACCTGCGTGTTTTATCTCCTACTGAACTCACCATCATCTCACAAAGAGGTGTGAATCATCCATGCTGCACTTCAGCAGCTCCATCTCCATCTTTCGGCCAGACATCTGCAGATTTGAAGCTCTTTCCTGGAAAAGGTAGAAGAAGAACAAATGAAAACTTGACAAATCACTGAGACCAAAACAAAGCTGCAGATGGGAGCACGCGGTGCAGGAGAATAACGGAGCACAAACAGGGCCTCAGAGCATTTACATTTACTCGAGCGGTGCCTGTAATGAAAGCTAAAGCTCAGTGAAACTGTGAACAACCTCAGATGAATCACCTTTTCCAATCAGCCCGAGGGGCAGATCTGGTTCCCCCCCCGCAGGGCTTTAACTCCTGTTTTCTCAGAGTCATATGGGCGACGTAAACACACCGGGAGGAGGCCCATTTCTCATCTGCGGATATTATTAGCATAAATTACAGCGGTAACGGCAGATAAAAAGTGCAGTCAGGGCATCCATTTAGCTCCGGTAAACTTCCCCACCGCTGCCAGTTCATGATCACCCATCCAAACGGACTATTTTATGCCCGACTTGGCTGATGCATGAAAAAAAGAGCGCGCCGCCATCTTTTATCCCTTTTCTCCCCTGAAAGAGAAAATCGATGTGAGGACACGAAGAGGCCATCGCTTATGTTCGCTCGAGCAGGAAAAAAAGCTTGCGTCTTCACGCAGCAGGGCTCACCTGGGCCCCGTTCATCTCTGCTCCTACAGCCCCCGAGGGCCCTGAATGCACCACCCACACTGTCGGTATCGACTCTACGCCCACACCTCAGACAGAGCAGGGATCTGACTGTCGCAGCAGGTGTGTTATGTTGTTTTTCTCCGGCTGAAATGAGCCGTGTGTGTGAGACATGTGTCTGACATTCAGGCGAAATAGACTGACGTGACTGTGGACTGATAACCGGGTTATTTGGCAAATAAATCTACTAACATTTGAGTTTGTTTTCCTGCCTGAAGTGTTTTCTTCAAACCTAAATATCAGATCTGATTATAAAGTCTACGAAAACCTTTAAGTTGTCTTTGATTGATGAGGAAAGCGGTTCAACAATAATTACACGTGTTATTTCTCATAGATGGGATCATCTTCAGAAGAGTTTCTCACATTAACTTTAAAATAACTCAAGACTTCATAAGTTTAAAGCCTTAAATAAAAGCATCATGTCCAGGTTCAAACCTCAAACTCCGACCCTGAAAAGTGTTTACATGAAACTCTGATCATCTCCTCAGGAACATTATCTCCGCTCTCTTTGATTTCTTCATCATTTTTTCCTCCGTCTCTTCCTCCCATCACCATTTTTCCAGCCCTGACATCCAGACAGTTGGTGCTGCCATGTTGCTTACAGCCTCATTTTTCTTCTTCTTCTCTTTTTCTGCTAATATATTCAGGCTCTTCTTCTTCTCCTGATACATATTCGCTCTTGATTGTGGCTGCCAATTAGCCGGCGCGGCGGTGGCAGTTCATCCATCTGACTTAAAGGTTCCTCGCCACTAATTCTGACGGTCGGGTCAAGTAGCGGAGGGGCCCATTAATTGGAATAATGAAGTCTTCAGTGAGTGATCATCAATGACTTCAGAGCGCTATTAATCCTTTAAAGAAATCATCTCTTTATTTTTAATGTTTAGCTTTATCGTCCGGCCAGCTGCTGCAACATCTCATTTATCCTCGACTTAATAAACATCATGCATGTGTGATTTCTCTTTCTCCCGCTCTGCTTTATTTACTCCCACGTCATTTACTTCAGTCTGTCCCTCAACTCTCTATATGTCACGTCGTTTTTATCCCTCCACCCCTCCTCCTCCTCCTCCTCTTCTTTGCTTCGCTGTCCTCCTACTTCTTCTTTTTCTTCATGATTTCACTTCCTATCCTCTCTCCTCTGGATTCACTCCTTCCTTAATGCAGAGTTTGACAGCAGCTGTTTGCAGATCTGCTGGAAAATGATGAATTGATGATTTTCTCAGGTTGTCAATGTTTTAAACAACGTACAGTGGGGAACGCTGCACATTTAACCGCGTCTAAACAGCATAACAGCTGCACCCTAAATACAGCAGAGTAATATCAGGATCCTCCAGTTCAGTGATAGTTTGATTATTTAGATATCTTTGCAGAGCTCTTACGCTTTCCCACAGACTCAGTTTTCTTCTCAAATGACCTGAAAGTTACGTCAGAACTTTCTGGAAATGGACTTTGCAAGTTCTGGTCAGAGGTGTCATTGAATGAGCTTCACTGGATACAACACAGCGTGATACAATACAGTCAGTTAGATACACTGCAGGAGTCACAACAGAAGTTACTGATGCATGAAAAAGAAACTGAAGCCCACTGCAGATAAAAAAGAAACAGTGCAGGTATTAAAAAAAGCCACAACGGAAGTTAACGACACAAATAAAAAGGGGCGATGGAAAAAAAAAAAGTTACTCACTGCGAAAATAAAAGGTTGCAAATCAAAAAAGCCACAACAGAAGTGAGCTTTCGCATTCTTTTTTATCTGCAGCAGTGGCAGCTCGCGGCCACCGTACAGAGGGATATAACCTAGTGTGGTGTGGTGCAGCGCCATCAGAGCAGTAAAATATATTTTCAACAGGATACGATATAATTAATACAATGCAATGGGTTTATACCACGATATGATAAACTGCACTTTGAGTTTGTTTAGAAAAGTGCAACAAAAGCAAAAGTAAATATTCCCACTTTCATCATCAATATTAAAGTGTCACTGTTCGACTTGAGCAGAGGTTTGTTTCGTGTCTCCCGTCAGGATGAAACATGGTCTCTGAAACTGATCAATGAATTAGATTCTTATTACATCCATCTTCTTCAACGAGAAAACGACTCAGTGTGTTTGAAACATCTCTTCATTCACCTACAGTATCTGTACACACAGCCATCAGTCTTTAATCATCCATACATCAGAGTGTCTGCGCAGTTATAATGTGCAGCACAGTCCTCAGACATTACTCAGAGTGACAGTGAAGGAGTGACTGCCAATAATCCAACACACACGCACACAGACTCCGCTGGAGTTCACACCAGAACGATGGGCCTGATTCAGACGGCGTTGGCCCGAGTCAAATTGTTCATTTTAGTTCTAATCGCGTCATTTATCAACACGCTGCTCAGCCGCGTCACAAAGTGCAGTCATGATAACGAGACGTGAGGAGCGGAGAGTCGTCAGGTTTCAGCTGAAGCAGGTAGGAATCAAACTTTATACGGTCGATGCATCACCTTTCGACTTTAACAGCAAAACGGAGCTGCTGATGTGGGGCTAAACCTGACCTTTGACCTTCCAAGAGTGTCAAAAAAGGGAAAAAGGAGGGAACGTCTTCTTGGAAAGGTTGATTGTGGAGTTTAAATTACATCCCTTAACAGTCCAGATTTTTATTTTTCACCTTCTATGTGCAAACAAATCTTAAAACATTTAAAAACTGTAGAAATCATCAAATCTCTTTAAAAATCTGTTTCAAACTCATAAAATCTAAAACTTTTAAAAGCACGCGTCTCTAAACGTGCAGGTTTTTAGTTTTTTTTTATCAGACTTCTTTAATAAAGACTCATGTTTATGCAGCTCTGCACTGTAAAATTGAGCCTAATGAGTCTAATTTACCTGGCACCTAATTAAAACACCTTTTTAAACATTATCAGACTTATCATTAGAAAGAAAGCTTGTTTTGGCCTTCTCACAAACCAGATCACGAATGTTTATAAGGGCTCTAAAAATCTAGTGGCAGAGTTTCAATTCGGTAAAATAAGAAAAATTTAACACGGACTTTCTCCTGCATTCATCAAAGAATTCATTGACGACAATTAGTCAGAGCTTTAAGACGTGGGACTCCAGCTGCTGCTCTGAGCGTCTTTATCTTCTCATTCAGTTTTTATCAGGATGTCAGAAACTCCGCAGCAAAACACAAACAGTCACTTTACCCATTTTGCATCCAGTCTTCGCAGATGATTATGAGGCGCGTTGCTGCGTCTGATAGAGAGATTAATCTTGCTTTGATAGAAATATGTCACTTTCTGCAGCCGCTGATGGATGTGATTTATCATTGCGGACAAATCTGCGCCCGATTGTCCCTCCTCCTGACAGCTCTATTGCAGCGAGGACGTCCCAAAATGTCACCTGTTGTACGCCCACTGACCTTCTAATTTTCTAATTCAATTTGGAGAAGAAGTCCCCTCCCTTCCCCTCCCTGCCACAGAACCGAATCATGAAGCAGTAATAACAATTTCACACCGTGACCGGCTCCAAAACCTGCAATTCAAAGCCCAAGTAGTCTTTTATTAGGCTGCCCGGTTAAATCAATCTAAATCTAAGCATAATAAGTCTCTAATCAGGTGCTGGGCAGAATAATAGGTTGTCACGCTCGAGGAAAAATAGGCAATCATGAAATGTTTTCTTTAATTAGGCCGGCTAAAGTAGAAGGGCACGGCGAGAGCGCGGGACACATTCATCATAGCCAAGGTGGGAAATTACTTCAATTACTCAGGAAGGAGAGAGTGAGCCGAATCAGAGGAGTCACAGAGGAGAGGAGACGAGACGGGAGAGGGCGAGATCTCTGAGGAAGTCTGCATGACACCTAGGCAAGGACAGAGGAGGCAAGGAGAGAGGAGAGGAAATAGAGGGTGAGATCTCTGAGGAAGAACACAGGACCGAGGAGAGGTGATGAGACGGGAGAGGGTGAGAACTCTGAGGAAGTCTGCACGACACCTAGGCAAGGACAGAGGAGACAAGGATAGAGGAGAAGAGAGGGAAGAGGGCGAGATCTCTGAGGAAGTCTGCATGACACCTAGGCAAGGACAGAGGAGACAAGGTAAGAGGAGACAAGGAAAGAGTTGAGGAGATAGAAGGCTAGATCTCTGAGGAAAAACACAGGACAGAGGAGAGGTGATGAGATGGGAGAGGGCGAGATCTCTGAGGAAGTCTGCATGACACCTAGGCAAGGACAGAGGAGACAAGGATAGAGGAGAGGAAAGGGAAGAGGGCATGATCTTTAAGGAGGAACACAGGACAGAGGAGCCAAGGACCGAGGAGAGGTGATGAGACGGGAGAGGGTGAGAACTCTGAGGAAGTCTGCACGACACCTAGGCCAGGACAGAGGAGACAAGGATAGAGGAGAAGAGAGGGAAGAGGGCGAGATCTCTGAGGAAGTCTGCATGACACCTAGGCAAGGACAGAGGAGACAAGGACAGAGGAGACAAGGAAAGAGTTGAGGAGATAGAAGGCTAGATCTCTGAGGAAAAACACAGGACAGAGGAGCCAAGGACAGAGGAGACAAGGATGGAGGAAAGGGGATAGAAGGCTAGATCTCTGAGGAAAAACACAGGACAGAGGAGCCAAGGACAGAGGAGACAAGGATGGAGGAAAGGGGATAGAAGGCTAGATCTCTGAGGAAAAACACAGGACAGAGGAGAGGTGATGAGATGGGAGAGGGCGAGATCTCTGAGGAAGTCTGCATGACACCTAGGCAAGGACAGAGGAGACAAGGATAGAGGAGAGGAAAGGGAAGAGGGCATGATCTTTAAGGAGGAACACAGGACAGAGGAGGCAAGGACAGAGGAGAGTAGATGAGACGAGAGAGGGCGAGATCTCTAAGGGAGAGTGCATTACACCTAGGCTAGGACAGAGGAGACAAGGATTGAGGAGAAGGAGAAAGACAGTGTGACACTGACCCTGCATGAACATTTTACATTTTTTCCCCTTTAACTGAAGAACCGATTGGATCTTTTGTTTTATCTTGTTTGTGTGTTTTGCAGAGAGCGGGATCGTCACTTTACTTACATACAACCCACACGATTGATCCCCACGCCATGAAGACGCCACACATCACTCCTGTCCATCAGCAGCCACAGAGCAGGAAACCTGTGGAGAAAAATATTTGCTAAACTTGTTAAATTAAATCATTTTAAAACTGTGCAGCTTTGCTTTGAGTTTTAAATGTTTGATATTTATGATTATGAAAAAAAAAACTGTTTGCTGCTAGAACTGATCTCACAACATGCTCATGCGGCATGATCCTGAGAAAACTTCATAAATGTAACTTTAATCCGTGTCAGAGGCTGTTCAGTTCAGGTTTTAGAAAGTATGGGGTAAGTTAACTTCTTATTTTTGACCTGGTTTGAACCTCAAACCTCCTCCAGAACAATCCCTGAGGACGAGCTCTGATAGCTGCAGACAGAAAAGGCTCCGTCAGTCTCAGCGAGGAGGTAATCAGACTGAGGATCTGTGTTTCACCAGAGATCAATACCAGGATTGTAGCGAGTTCGCATCCTGCAACTGTGCAGGATTATCAGGTTGAGGCGATCCATCACGACCGGAAAGGTGGTCAATGTCCGAGCAGACGGACCGAACAAGAGGAGGAGAAACAAACGACAAATACTGGGGAATATGTTCAAGAGAATCCAGCGCTTTAGGAGTGGAGACAAGTTTCCTAAAATAAAAGATGAGTTCATCTATTAAGTGAAAACTTTATCCTCAAACCTACACTTGTTTCTTTTCTGTACTATTAAAAAATAACGAACACTGCAGTGACAAACGTGGAGGCCGTCAGAGGGATCCTCAGACTCTGGAAAAGTTAATCCTCTCAGACTTAAAAACTGGATGTAATAAATGTTGAAAATAGAACCATATGCACAAGTTTTAACTAGAATCAAAGATGAGGAGGACTCTAGAAGGTCACAGATCTGTTTTCTGTCTCTCTGCACTGCTGAGACGCTGTGAGGAGAATCAGATTAAACTTCTCCATCTGCAGAATAATACTTTTTTTGGGAAAATTACATTTATTCCGTTATTGAAACCCGGAGCAGGAAAACCCTGAGTGTCTTTAACTTCTTCCTTCATACCCAGCATCCCTTCTTCCCTTCTCGTCCTCCTCCTGTTTCCTATTTCCTCCTCCCCTCCCTCCTTCCCTCTGTCCGCTCTCCTCTCTGCTCCGCTGACCACACAGCTCCATCATCATCCCAATTTTTGTTGTAACGGCGATCAGTCATTTCTGCTTTGGTCTATTTGCTATTGATGAATGACCAATTATTTGTCTCCTAATGCGGTGAAAAACGATGACCCACGCAGACGGATCCTCTCTTTTTTTTTCCTCCTTTCTCTTCTGCTTGATCTGACACAGAACAGCAGTGATGGATTATATCCTTAAACTGTTATTACGTTTATAATGTGGCGCTCTAACCTGACAGCTCACTTCATCTGGGCCTCCACGATTAGATAAATAAAAAGTGTTTCAGTCATATTAGAGGATTTAGAGGAGAAGATGGTCCTTAAAAGGCTCAAAGAGCAAAATAAATGAAATAAAATTAAGCCAAGTAGACTTAATGACGACTCCTCTATCATTTTCACTTTAAAACTATGCTTTCAACTAAGATAAGATAAGACAAGATATACCTTTATTGGTCCCACTGAGGGAAATTCCATTTAATCCACGTAATCCATATCATGTTTAAGTTAGTGTTTCATTATCCTGGCTCTAATTAATGAAAAATCTTCTTTGCCTTGTTGTTTATGGGTGAGAATGGGGTAAGGTGATCCATTTTTCATATTTCAGATCACTATATCAAGTCAATCCTAGTTTAGTCTTTAACTCGTGTCTCTGTAGATATTTCAGGATGTTGTTCATCCCTGCAAACCAACAGAATGAGTGTAAACAGAACTGTCATCTTCAGAATATAGCAGGACAAAAAAAAGTGGTCTCCTATGGTCACATGAGAATGTCTTTAAGTGATTGAGAACATTCACAGATCTGTATTTTTAAAAAGAAAAAGTCAAACATTTCATTAATCTGAAGGTAAACTCTGATCCTCTCCTCTGACTCCTTTACTTTCTCTGCTCCCCCTGAACTACTATGATGACTTTATTAGTCCTCTGAGATAAAATGGTGGACTTTTATGTCATAAATACCACAGTTGATGTATAAAACACATTTAAAATGATCTTTTTTGGTCTGAACACAATTCTAATCAAACTTCTAACAGACTAAATTCACTTTACAGAGTGAAGAAAAATGTTGTTTTATAAATAAATGTCTAACCTCTTCTTCACCCATGAGCTTCTAACCTTCACAGACTCCATGAATTGATGACCATCTCCTCAATATTTGGTCTTATGATCAATTTCTTTGACCATTTCCAAACAACAGGGGGTGGATCAACTTACCCAACTCTCCCCTGTGTCAAATACAAATGACTATTAAATATAAAATGACTGCAAATGGAGTTTCTAGGAAATTCTCTTGAATCAGGAGGCAACTTTTTCAGCTGGCCTGTCTTTAAACAGTGACTTTAATACTCATACAGCTAAAAAAGACCAATAAAAGTTACAAAATTACGGTAAAAAAGAGTGATTTTTTATGGAAACTTACCAAACTTTACCGGCGGTGACACCAGAAGGCCCGAAATTTCCGTCAATATTCACTAAAACGCAAAAAAAAAAGTGAAATTTAACCACTTTTACGGGTAATTCAATGTTATTGTACCAGATAAACTATCTTAATCCAAACTTCACATCCACATTTGTATTTCCAGTCAAAGTTCTTCCACTTTAACCAAAAAAAAACACTTTTCTCTCCGAACCGTCAGAACTGCTAGCTAAAAACATAACGAAATATAACATTTTATGCTCATTTAAAACAAATTACTAAACTCTGTATCGTGTCAGGGCCTTTATAGACAGCTTATCCGTCGATAAATGTCAAGTTATCCAAAAACTTTACCGTAAAAAAGCTCATATTTGGTCATGAAAGCTCCAAAAACCGTAAATTATCGTACTTAAAGTCCCGGTCGTTTAATTGGCTGTTGGTGCTCACGAGACCAAACGCGGACGTCACAGACCCAGGAAAGAAAATTAATCTCAATAATTTAATTAAATTTTAATTTTTAATTGAATATCCGATCTAATGACTGAAAAAAATAGTTATTTTTTTTACTAGACGACTTAAAGGGGAAAAAAAAATAAAGTACAATCCCATATGTTTTTGAGTGTGATGATTCAAACATATATAAAAGCAATTTTTTATATAATTCTTTACATACAAGTTGATAAAAAATGAATGTTTATTGATGAAAATGTGTGAAAAAGAGTTATCACACTTACAATACAAAAAAAACCCCGTAAAATTCAACTTTAATTTAGCAAATTTCACCACAATTGAACCGCAGTCAATATACCATTTAACCACTAGAGGGTAGTGTTTAGCGATAGGCCTACAGGTTAATTTTCCATTTCTGGTTCGTACACTGAGGCTGTTGCTGCGTCCGAATTGCCCGCTCGGATACTACATGCTACTGCTACGCACTACTGCTAGATCCTACTCCTACATACTAAACACGTTGGCCCAATTCGGACACACTAGACGAGCGGCGGAGAAAGACGACCCCCGCAGGCAGAGAGTAGGTACTGCGCCCGTTTTAGACTGAATGGTAATTGTGCAAGTGATGGATGCTGCTGTATTATATTCCTACGCTGCTTTAGAAATTCACAAAGTAGCTTTTCCATGACTTTTAGCCTTCATTCACTCATGTGGTGATCGTTTGTTCAATGAGATCTGCCTGATTACTGCAGCTGTGCAGTTTAATGATGGAATAAGTGAGCTTTACCTCCATGATGTCGCCACATATTTGCTCATAAAATGATTACTTGGGCAAATATGACACCTTGACATGACAAAGAGCTACAACCGCACATTTTTTAGGACAGTGTATGAAGTTACATGATACTTCCCCACCGCTCATCTAGTGTGTCCAAATTGGGCCAACGTGTTTAGTATGTAGGAGTAGGATCTAGCAGTAGTATGTAGCAGTAGCATGTAGTAACCGAGCGGGCAATTCGGACAAGGCATTGGTTTACGCTTTTCTGCCTCTAACACATGCTGCGTCCGAATTGCCCGCTCGGATACTACATGCTACTGCTCCATACTACTGCTAGATCCTGTTTATAAGTTTTTTAAACATAGATTTTCATTTTAGCATCACTTGAAATAAATTGCAATTGAAAGTTGGAGCTTGTGTTTGTTTTTGTTTTAAGAAAAAAACTGCTGATGTTAACTCCCTAATCTTATGGATAATTTGTGTTTTTGGTTTCTTTATTATCATTATTATTATTATATCAAACCTTATTCAGGATGAATTTTAAAGTCCAGGAGCAAAAGTACCAAGATAAAAGCACGCAGAGCTCATCCCCAGCTGTGGATGGTCTCCGGTGGCGCAGTGTGGTAGACATCTAACACCCTAATGTGAGCCATGTGTTCTGGTTGAAGACCGGCTCCTGGTTCGAAACCCGCTCAAGCCCAGGGCTCTGGGGTTACCCCCCCCCCCCCCCCCCCCCCCCCCCCCGGTGTTTCCAGAGAGATAAAATAGGGGGGTTATGCTACAGGAAGTCAGAGCAGGCTGAACTTTAGAGTAAGGGTGGGAAGAAGGGTTGCGGGGGGGATTATAGGGGGGGCGCGGCGGCCGATGGCCGGGGGCTGGGCAGAGGGCGTAGTCCCTCTGCTCAGGCCTGGGCAGAGGCTGGGCAGAGGGCGTAACCACAATAAGGATTGAACCCACTGACTCATGTGGACACACGAGATAATCATGTTTTTTTTCATATATCACTGTACTTTTTAGACTCTAGACCTTCAAAATAGAAGTGGGCAAGGTAGGACTTGAACCTATGACCTTAGGAGTCCCAGTCAGTCTTCTTATCCTCTGAGCCACTTGGACACACAGGATTATACCATTTGTTTCCTCTTTCACTTTCCTGTCTTGTTACTAGACTTCAAAATTCACCTTGTCCCAAAAAAGGCTGGAACACACCACCTCAGGAGTACCAGTCAGTCTCCTTATCCCGTGAGCCATGTGGACACACGAGACAATTATGTTTTTTTTTCATATATCACTGTACTTTTTAGACTCTAGACCTTCAAAATTCACCAAGAAGTGGGCAAGGTTGGACTCGAACCTATGACCTCAGGAGTTCCAGTCAGTGTTCTTATCCTCTGAGCCACTTGGAGACACAGGATTATACCACTTGTTTCCTCTTTCACTTTCCTGTCTAGACACTAGACTTCAAAATTCACCTTGTCCCGAAAAAGGGTCGAACACACCACCTCATAGTAGGGTCTGTTAACTTGAAAAAATGGCCAAATTGTTATGCGGTGGATAAAAGCACCAAATTTGGTACACACATTCTTCAGGGTGTATCTCATCATCTCAGAAGGGGTGCCCAAAAATGCATGAGTGAAAATGGCTCAAATGGAGGTCGTATACATGACCCAGTACAAAAGTCTCTCGTTGATTTATTTAGCAGGAAAAAGGGAGTCGATCTCTGCTGCTCTGAAACCACATCTGACAAAGAATAACTTCATACTGCAAAACCAAGTGTGAAGCCTTTCAGGAAACCTTATAAATCACAGCATGAAGATGGCGGGGGTTATTATTATATGCCATAATAAGGTGATGGTGTCTCTGCAGGTGTAGGTTACCGCCAGTGTCAGAGACGTGGTGCACATCTGATCTCGACTCCCTCTGGATCACAAATGTTGATCATCATCAGTTTGATTGTTTCTTCAGAAACCACAAAATCTCTCTAAATGACCCGCTGATACATCCACAGATAACCCTGCAGATGACCAGCTTCAGTCATTTCCCCCTCCACAAAAGCAGCTTTATGACTTTATTTACTTTATGACTTTATTCTCCTAAATTTAAAACTTTAATCTCTAAATCTTAAAAGCAGAAAAAAAACTCAATTTTGTCCTGATCCTCTGCTGTAGTTTTGTCAGTTTTCTCATTTCTAATGTTTTTGATAGTTGTAACAGAGCGGATCAGTTCGTCTCTAAATCTATAATGTTTGGTTTACAGATTTTAGTGAGTTCAGAGATCATGCTCTCATACAGCCTGAGCTGACTGTCTGCTGTTTTTGGATTTCTTGTATTTTCTTCGAAGACCCGCTGTGTCTCCAAGCGAGTCCAGCCTCTCACCTGAAATGCGCAGCTGTGCAGCGGCATGCAAAGCATTCTGGGATACCGACGGCACGAAAACAAAAATAAATTAATCATAATATAAATTATGACATGGGGATTATATATTCAGTACAGATCATAGAGATGACCTCAGGGCTTCATAGAGAGTCATAGTTGAATCTGATGTTTGGGGGTTGGAGCAGTAAGTGTGTCATTGTGTAGTCACCATATTTATACACTAGATGTCAGTGTTCGACAATATATCTTAGCTCACTCCTTTTTTCAGGGCTGAAAATGAGCAAAACAGCCTCAACAAGTCATTTAGTTTGTGTTGTTAATTATATTAATTTATGGGAAACAGTTTGGGTTTGACTAAAACTTATTTTGGAGCTTAGATTATTATCTCTGGAGGTACAACAGGACGATTTATCTTGAGTTACTCTTTGGAAATATCAAGGTCACCAGAATATTAAATATTTTTGTCGAGGCAGGGATGTGTTGTCTCACTTCTCAGTAGGGGTCATGTGTGTAATGTGTGTTGTTGTGGAGTTGTGTGTGTGTGTGTGTGTGTGTGTGTGTGTGTGTGTCACTGAAGCTGACTGATTGTCTGATGGATGTCACCTGTACCTGCCGGTCGATTGTTTGCTTGGTTCAGAGAGAGAGGAGGAGGCGGGGGCTGATATTTCTGTTAACCCTAAAGCTTTTTTCCTTCAGATACTTAAATCTACATCAAATGCATGTTTTAAAGTTTGATTCATTAAAAGGGAAAATAAATATCTTAGAGCTGCAGTAAAAACTTCCTGCAGATCCCTGTATTTTCATCTCAGTGACGGATTTACTTTTGATAGTCACAATAATTTAAATGAGCAGAGCTGCATCTAAATATTTCCCAATCTGAGGTATATTCATCATAATGCAAAAAGTCATGACCTGAGCTCATATTTAGCCTTTTGGTTTTGTTTTCTAGAGCAAAAGAGAGGATAAATCTGCTAAATTTTTCAGAGAAAAGTTTTAATTCTTTCATGATTAAGACAATAAAGTCGGACTATATACAAGAGTCTGCAGATTTACTGCCTCATTTAGACTGATGCATGTTTTCTTTATCATTGTTTGCTCAGTTATGGACAAGATGACTTATTGAGATTCTTTTTTTTCAAACATTTTTTCTTTAAATTAGGAAATAATGCATGAAAAAAAGAGCAAAAAGTAGGTCGTGAGTTATAAAACAATCAAATACCAGAAGCAGAGTGACACAAATTTGGCCTAACCGGATCATTTAAAGTTTTAATAGGTGTGCACAACAGGTTATGTGAGATTTTCTGCATGGTTTGTTAGCACTGCAGATAAATGCTGCAGAGTTTCTGTATTCCCGCTGTTGTATTAAATAAGAGTCTCACTAATGAGTGGATATAAATGCAGCCTTACAGAGCACTCCTCTCACTCTCTGAAGTGTGATGAAAAAAAGTGTCTTAGTCCCATTTCATTTGTCAAAAGACTACTTAAGAATGAAGGATGCTCCCCCTCCTCACCCTTTTTTTCCCAAGGACGTATGAGCTCATGCTGCTGGCCGGCTGCCTGGACGAGGAGGAGGAGGAGGAGGAGGAGGAGGAAGAAGAAGAAGGAGAGGGGGCGTAAGCATTCATCAGGTGCATTACGTCACCGTGGGCCAATCCCATGCTCCGTGACACGCTGAGCGCTGACAGCAGCGTCTGTTTCGCGTGGGGGGAGTTTGGCTCAGAGAGACACGAGCTGAGTTTCACCTCGAGGATGGGGTCACCAGGTCGATCCAGGTTCAGTTCAAACGTGTGAACACCCCGCTGTGGAGCACAAAACACCAAAAACAGTCCTGAATGGACCTGGAGGATTCGGGTTTTAAGAAATTGACCTGAGACGATAAAAACTAAGAGAGAAACTGAACACTTGGGTGCACTTATTTGGTGCTTCTTACCACAACTACACAATACTCACAATTACACACCAGTGGAGGACACACACTGGGAGCAAGGTAAGTTGAGTGTCTTGCCCAAGGACAGAGCAGACAGACTTGGGATAGGGTGGGGATTGAACCACCAACCTTCCAGTTACTGGACAGCTGCTCTACCTCCTGAGCTACTGCCGCCCTTTTCTAACACTTCTAATGCAAACCATCCCTCATGAGTAAAAACACAACTTGCATGAACATGGTTTGAACAAAATCTTGCAGACTTCCGGGCAGCTACTTTCAAGAATATTTATTCACCAGCAGCTAATTTGACTCATTTCAGGTAACCCGGGCCTCATTTTTGTCCTGTAGTATCTTCAAAAGAAGACATTTTAGTGAAGTGAATGTGCTTCTGAGCTACTTTGGCTTCAGTTTTCACATCCACCATTTTTCCTGCACCAAAACTCTGCAAACAAAAAGCAAGACTGTTCTGTTCAAATATCTAAAATCTCATCCTTTCGTCGCAGCTTTAATGCTCATGGTTCTTTACTCTCTGGTCAAAAGTTCACTGATTCACTGAAAGATTGCAAAATTCACAAAAACAAACATGATGCAATAATTTCTGTTTGCAGATAATGTGATTAACTTCGCTTATATAAAGTCTGACTTTGTTTTGAACCGAACAGACTAAAGTGGAAACACACAAAAGAAAGATGAAAAAGGAGAACAAAAACTCTGGGGTTCAAACAGACCTCTAAACTCCGATCTCTCACAGATTTGAAGCTCTTAAACACAACTTCAGTCGAAACTTCACAACCACAGTGAAACGAAAAACTCTGAGCCTACAGCAGCTGCTTTTTAGAAAATACCTCCAAAAATGTGCTTTTCTGATTGTTCAGGTACAAAACTGCAGCAACGTGTGGGTGTTTTACAGCTGCAAAAAGCCTCTAAGTTCAAGTAACCTGTGACTTTTAAGAAACCTGAGGAGCTTTGTCATTTTTATTTAAATACTTTCAAAATTCACAGATTTAATTTAGAGATTTAATAAAGATGCAGTCCACCTCACAAAGAACTTGCAAAGTAAAACAGCCTTTCCATTTTATGTATTTCAGAGATCTCTTCTTCTCTTAAAGTGTCATTTGTTCCCAAGTACACAAAATATCCTGTCTAAATTTAACATCTAAAGAATTAAAAACGGCAAAAACAAACTTTTCCAATCAAGGATCCGTTTTAAACAAAGTAAATCAGACATTTTCCTGCACCAAACCGTCAGAGATGTCAGAGTTAAACAATAAAAATCAGTGCAGGGCCTTCTGGAAGAGCTGCAGGACCAACTCAATGAAGCATCTGTGATGGGCGGAGCCAAATCCAATCACCCAATGACTTACACGCCCTGCCCCCAGCCTCCCCTCTCACGCCAGTGCCAGCACTGTACATAAGACGATCACTGAGCTTTAATAGCATGAAGAGAGAGTTAGATCAGATAGCGAGCTGGCAGTGTTATCAAGCCGCGTGTTTGGAGCAGCGATGACAGCGCTGGCACAAACAGGGAGTGCTGGAAGCTGGACCCAAACCAGCCGGGGTGCAGAGTGTGTGTGTGGGGGGGTGTGTATGTGTGTGAGTGGCGCCTGTCTGGCTTTTGGCTGGATGTTGAAGCCTGTTGGAATCAGGGAAATTTAAGTGCAGAGGCCAAATGTGGTCCACTTTTAGAGGAACAAGCAGCTGCAATATGCATATTTTATGATATCAGTGCAACAATAAATACACTCCACTCTGCATTTCCATCCTGCAGCTCTTTGGAGGGGTGTTTCACTTCCTGGAGGCGTGGCCTATTGCAACCTGCAGGCAAAAGTCAGGGTAGAAAAACGCCCCAAAAAAAACACATACATGACTGAATGATCAGATTAGGCCCAGGTCACCTCAGGACATCAGACACATGATCTTTCACAGCTCATTAATTTAATTGACAGCTATGGAAGTGATGGAGGTGGGAAAACAGGACACTCCTTTAAACACTCTTCATTCACAAACACATTAAAAAAAACCTCTGCAAAAAAAATCCAGTTGCACAACTTCCGCCAATTTCAGACTCACACTAAAGGTGAACCAACAACACCACTTGAGGACTTTCACCTGAGGAATTTACCCAGTTTCAACCATTAAAAGGCTAACACAGGTTAGAGAAATATGAGACAGAGACGTGGTTTAAATCAACATTTATTTATAACATTAGATTTAAAATAAATGAAGAGTCCGCTGAAAGAAAACAAAGGAGTCAGTGAAGAAAGTTTGAGTCTTTTATTGAATAAATTGATTAGAAAGTTTATTGCAAATCATTATTTTTAACAATTAACCAATAAAACACTTCCAGTAAAAAACTAACAAAAGGGAGTGGGAGAGAGTGTCCCAGGAGTGAACTCACCCACCACACCTGAACTCACTCCAGACAGGTGTAGACTACGGTGCTCCTGTATGCCCACCACTGCGACAAAAAGGTGTAGGGAACCACCCAACGTGCTTAACCAGCCACTACTGCACTATAGGGGATGAGAGAAAGACAAAGAAATGATTAAAACTACTACTGGTTCTACTAAAATGTCTTTGGTTCTTCTAAAATCTCTTTAATTACAATCAACAATGAAAATGCTGACCAAACCGAACTCTAAAAAGACAAAACCAGCAGCTGATTGTGTCTCCAATACAAGAAAGAGGAATTGTTGCACATGCCATCGTCTTCCTGTTCACACACTGCAGCCACTCACACCTGTGCAGGTACATTTATCCAGGTTTCAGTGGACACCAACAGTCAGGTTAAAGTGCAAACTGAAATCAAACAAACTAAAAGCACAAACATAATTCAGCAACTAAAGGACTCAAAGTACATGGTCATGTACCATGAACCAGACCTCAGTACCTCTGTTCAGACCATGTGGGAGCAAAAGGCAGTTCTCCTGTCACAGGTGCTTTATATAGGAGGGCAGGTGAAAAGGGGCGGAGCTGACCTAATTTTGGAGATGCTGCACAGCTTGTCGCCTCTGCCCCTAATCCTACCTGCTGCACCAAGAATCACAGAAGCTCACTGACATCAGTTTAAGGAACAAGTTTAGAGACAAGACAAAGACAGACAGAAAGACAGAGGGTCTCAGTTTTAAAGATGCACAGAGAAAATAAACTCACAGCTCTGACTGAAAACACCTGACACCAACCCGCCACGACCTTCAAAAACAACTCTGAGTCAACCCAAAACCCTGAACTGAAATCTACATTTTATTCCAGCATTGACCCCGACATAAAAGTCTAGACCTGTCTCTAAATAAGGAAAGAAACAGATAAAAATGTCCTCAAACTCAAGGTCTACGTCCTCACAGTGGTCCTCACTAAGACAGACATGCACACACACACTGCCGCACCTTTCCCCCTCAAGTGTTTTGATCTCAGTAATCAGGTTGGCCAGAGGGAAGGAATCCCACGGCTATATTTATGACACACACACACACACACACACACACACACACACACACACACACACACACACACACACACGCTCACTCAGAGGACAGCCAGCAGAGTGTCTGTGTGTGTGTGTAAACAGACTCAGACACTTTCTCCTCTCACCTCATTTTAACCCCTCTGACACACACACACACACACACACACACACACACTGACAGACATGTGTTTCCACACTTCTCGGGTGACCTTTGACCTCTCAAGTGCGGCTCTCAGCAGCAAAGTCGTCCAAGAAAATCGTCTGAAATCCGATGAAACTGAAAATAAACAAAGTTCAAAGATGTAAAACTGAGTTAGTGTCACGCTGTGATCAGATCTGAGGAGTGTGTGCATGCAGCGATCCTCTGCAGCACATACATTATCTGCCATCTATGTGTCTGTGTGTGTGTGTGTCTGTGTGTGTGAGTTGTTGTTGTCTTGTGGTCTGCGGGGTGTAATCAGCCCGGCCCACTGGCCTGCTGCGAATGCTCCGTGCTTATCGCCATATTTTGCAGCGTATTAAGTGGACCACAGGCGTTTTCACGCTGCGGTTTCGTCACGTTTGTGTGGATCCACCTGCAGCATGTCGCCCGTGTCTCCTCTGACACCTTAAAGACTTGTTTAGGACTCGTTCAGGGACTCGCTTGTTCAGGAGTCAGACCCTAAAGAAGTGTAACCAGCTGCTTTTGAGCATTAATGCTTCTCAGACGCTCCATTGTCATTTCATTTGATCACAGTTAGTGCAGCAGGAAGAAGTTTCAAGGTTATTTCTCATATTTTCTGTTTTTTATTGTACATGTAAAAACATTCAATGGATGTAATAAACACAAAAGATCGTCTCTTAAACTTTGTCCAAACTTTGAAGAACAGAGAGAAGAGCGAAGATAAGTTGGTGCATAAATCAAGCAGGTGGTTTAGATTAGATTATTAAGGCATTTCTCCTCAGAGAGATGTAGTTTTTAAAAAGTATCTCACATTCAAATGTTTCTCGTCTTAAAGACAGATTGAGGCCAGCGTTCAGTTTCTGTCGTCCTCGCTCCAAACAAATCATCAGCGGGGGAATAACCACGAGCGCTGCAGCTTCTTTGTTATTCTGTTGCCTCTCGCGTAATTGACGGATATTAACTTCCCATCAAGCAGCTCTAATTATAATCAATCCTCCAATAAGGCGCACAATTAAAGGAGCAATTTGATTGGTTCAAGTTGAACCCCAGAGTCTAATGAAGACATGCACACAAACAAATTCATCAGGGTGACGGCGTGTCAGAGACAACATCTGGAGACGCCAACAGAGAAACATGTTCCCATTGTGACCTTGGGTGCACTTTTCTGGGCGCGTTTTCATCAGTTTTTAGGAAGATTGACGCGTTTTTGAGCGAAAACAAACTTTTAAAATCCAGAATCGGGGAGTTTTTCTTTGCAAAGTGAAGTTTGAAGCTCAAGATAACTTCTTGAACATGCTGCTTATGGTGTTGTCTGCTCACGGGTATTATTTTCTCTGCAGCCTAAAAGTGCAAAGGGAAAGAAGTGATTGGTGCACAAGTGTGTGAAAAATAAGGATCAGAATAGTTTTGGAGAAATGTTTGAGAAGATGGTTGACGTTGCACAGATGATTCGTCCCAAAGATCTCCAACCAGTTTGAGTGGATTTGTGACTTTTGCAGAGACTTAATTCTATGTCTGCACTGACATCTTGATAAAGCAGAAACTTTTGCCTCCACATCAGCTGAAGGTCATTCTCGGTAAATAATCGTCCCTCTTAAAGTAAAGCCCACATTGGATCTCTGCAGCCCGACGACCAGAGTACCTGTAAACCCTCGCCCTCCATGAGACTGGAAGGAATAAAAGACAGTGGCCCCGGTTTGATGTGGACGTCTCCCCGCTCACTCAATCAATGCCCCGAGTCCAAATGAAAGATGAAAGCGAGGCAGAGAGAGAGGAGCTTTTTTAGCCAACAAAAGGATCCCTGTGCTCTCAGACACTCCGGCAAACATCGATCTCTCTCCCCCCACCACCGACCTCCACAAATGGACCTGATTGAACACACAAACTCAGCTTCAAGTTGCATGTTTTATTCATTATTTTGGGCTGTTTGTCGCTACTTTAGGTAATGCTTTTATCTGAGGAGACTCTGATGGAGAGCGTATAGAAAAATGCTTTCAAACAGGAAGATAATGACAGATTTTGGAGAGGGATCTTCTATTGTTAGAGTGAGGTTTGTGATGAAAAAGCTCCCTGTATGGAGACCCTGATAGAGCCTAAAATTATCATGCAGAGTCCGGATGAGAAAACCTGCAAAACTGTGACCGCTCCTGTATGTTAAAGGTAAAACTGGGAATAAAAGGCTGTAGTAATAAAATGGTAAAGAAGGTGAAACCGCCTCTTGGCCCTCCTGGACGCTCACCGTTGGGATCACGGGTTTGCATCTTGTCCTCGACGCCGACTCGTCAGATAACAAGGTCCTTCCCAGAGGACGACACGGTGCATGGAAATGAACAAGTCTGCAAGGACACACCAGATCTGTTTCCCAGCAATGATGCATGACATTAACGTCGGGGGGAGGAGACAGAGGGGTGAGATATTACAAAGGAGGTTAATATGATGTTCAAGAAGGACCTGGGTTACAGACTGTAAGTTTGACCTCTGATAGTAAGTCTTTTCTGGGGGACAGTGTCTCACAGATGTCAGACGTTTTCATTTCCTTTTGCAGGAATGACGGCTGATCAATTTTCTTGCAGAGTTAAATAAAATAAAAAAAGACACCTCTTTCTTTTTTTTATTTGAACTCTGAATGTGAAGCTAATGCCAGCAGGTTTCTGCCTCGGCTCAGAGGAAAAACTGGAAACAGCCTCTCAAGTGTCCCTCAAAGTAGGAGTTGGCGCCTGTTTCTTGGTTTGAATTTGCACGACGCCGAGGTGTCCAGGAAGCAGAATTTCTGATCATAACCACAAAACCGGCCTGGTTGAAAATTTGCCACCGATTCTTGCAGCATCTGTTTGCCTATGAAACTGAATGGGTAACACTTTACAATAACCATAACTTATAAATGGTAATAAATTGTAAATTTTACGATTTTAAAACCCTAACCCTAACCTTATAATAACCATCTCAGTAATGTTTATAAATAGTTTAAAAGGACTGAACAAGATCTAAAAGTGAGGACGGCACTTGCATGGAGAACCCTGAACGGCATGACCAGGATATGGAACTCCAACCTCTCCCGCCAAATCAAACTCAGCTTCTTCTACGCGACAGTAGAGTCCGTTCTCCTCTGTGGCAGTGAATGCTGGACCCTGAAACCAACCCTGGAGAAATCCCTAGATGGGTGCTACACCAGGATGTTGCGTGCAGTGCTTAACATCAGCAACAGAACACTGTACAAGGGAATACCAAGGATGAGCGAGAAGATTGCTGTAAGGAGAATGAGACGAGCAGGACACCGCCAAAGGCATCGGGAACTGCCAGCCAGCAAATCGGTGCTGTGAGAACCAACACATGGGCATCGGTCAAGAGGACGTCCTACACTAACATACGTGGACATACTCAAGAAGGACGCAGGAGCTCAGAGTACCAACGAACCGGTGAGATGTAGGGGAATCAGAATGACTGGAAGCGACGATGGAAGGCTCGTCTGAGGACGACCTAGAGGGACTGACACACATTTTAATCTACATGAAAATTATTAATCATAATTTCATCGCTCATTAACGGTAAAGTAACAATTAACTTACATTAACAAATCCATTTGCCATTTATATTTGTCTATATGCTGTTTTTAAATGATGATTAAACATTATAAACTATCTATTTACCATTTATAAATGATGGTTATTGTAAAGTGTTACCACTGAAGGAAACTAAAGTCAGTATGAAGGATATGATGGCAGAGATTGTGCAACAGGGTTAAAATGTGCAGAAATTTTACTATAAATGGTGGAATTTTCCCCCATTGTTAAAAAAAACCTCCAAATCTCACAATGCATTTATAATTTTATTCACCTGCAGCAAATTTTTAAGCTTTTTAATGTCTTTTGAACATGCGCTGACAGGAGAACAGAGATTTAAACATTTAATATCATCTTCCTTGCAAACTGCACTGAAGCGATGAGGTTACTATTGCATCTACTAGCTGTCACTTTGCACAGACTGTACGTTTTTGGTCCTGAAATCTAATGTTAATGTATTTAAGCTCATGTTTTTACATTTTGCATCTCTTTTTTTCAGGTTGTCCTGGTGCGCTCTCCTGAAACTGAAAGCTGTAAACATTGGCCCACTTTCGTTCTGGGAAATGAGAACATCGTTGTGAAAATGCAAACACAGCACAATCAGCGTTTCCCAGCAGGAAGAGGATTAACAGAAGGACACATGAGGACGCGGATGATTCCCAACGTATGCTGGGAAAATTCTCCACATTTAAAGCAAACGGGCGGTGGGGAGAAAATCT